CTGTGTTCATCCAGCCCTGCACCTTGTTGTCTTGCCAAAAATTGAATGCTTTGAAATAGCAAAGTGTGGGCATCAATTGTGCAACAGTGTGTTCTGAAGTTTTAATGACCTCGAGCATTTGTCAATAAAAGTGCTGCCTATCAGTCATTTCTGAGTGTGCAGTAGACAGTGTCTCTCTGTATGTGTGTTTAGTAGATGGTAAGATATGTGTACAATTGAAGTAGGGTGTCGTTTCTTTTAAAGTTACCAATGGGTAAAATATGGTACGTGCTACCTGGGAGGGTAATGGAGGAAGGTACTCTCTCAACTTCCAAGAAGCATCTGGGCAAGCACTTAAAATGCCAGGGCATTGTAGGCTTTGGACAAAGTGCAGATAAATGAGATCAGTGTAGTTTGGGGTTTGTTGGCATAGACGTTGGGCCGAAGGGCCTGTATCTTTGCTTTATGACTCTGTGACTTGGTCCAGACTGTGTGAGAGTTCTGTGGAGACAGGTGAGCTGGCTCTGACTATTATGTTGGCATCCATCTGGAATGCTTGAATCTGAAGGTTGTGAGTCTTTGTCTCTTCTCCTTCTCCCCCCCACCCCCCCCCCCCCCCCCCCCCAAACAATCCCCTCCCAACCCCGAAAAAAAAAAGTACTGGTTGCGGATCCCATAAACCATCGCCACCCCCCCACCCCCTGTCATTTTTGGTCAAATCATGCTAAGGGTTTGTGTAAAACTGGCTATGGTCCATGTCATGCTTCAGCACTTCATAAATTTCACAATCCATATTCCAAAGTTTAACTTGTATTGTGAGCAATCAATAATAATCTGCATGTTTTGTGAGCTTTGTATAAAATATCTCAAGTGACCTTTCATCTTTCACGTGATGTACGTGTTGCTGGCGGGGCCAGTATTTGTTGCCCTTCCCTAATTACAAGTTGTGTAGTTTACTAATGCACTTCAGAGGGTGCTTAAGAATCACCTACAGTCCTCTGAGTTTAGATCAGGTCAAGAAAGCAGATTTCTTTACCCCAATGTCCCCACAGCATTAGTAAGGCTTAGCTTACCAATCATATACCATGACCACAATGTCACTGTCTCATCCTTGTTCCATGTGAACGTTTGAAGTAGGAGTAGGCTTCCTTGAGCCTGCTATGCCATCTGATCTGATTACTCAATATTCCTGTGATGCCACCCCACTTATCAAAAATCTATCCATCACCTCAGTGAAGGAAATCGAAGGAAATCAAAGGATGTTGGGCCAGTAGTCTTCCTGAGCCCAATGTCTGCCCGTGTACCCTAACCTTTACCTTCTTGTTGATGTTATGCCCCACTGACCTCAGCTGCTGTTTTTACCCCCAGAATCCAGCATGGAGGTAGATCCCAGCTCAGCAGCTGAAACCAAGACCAACAGCAGCACGGAGAAGACCAGGACTTTTGGCACGTCTCAGCCGAAACCCAGAAGTGCGAATCCGTACCCCCCCGTCTGCCGCTTTTATTCCCGTGGGAGGTACTGCCAGTTTGGAAGGAGGTGCCGATTTCTGCACGAGTATCTGGAACCACAGGTTAGCCCCAGCGTACCTGAAAACCACGATGATGGCAACACTGATGACAGCTCCCAATGCCAGGGCAGCACGGAGAGTCCCAATAAGCCTGCAGAGGATCCGGGCTGGCTACGACCCGGGCCACCCAAGATGCTGGGACCCCGAGAACGGCCCAAGAGGCCGTGCCGCTACTACCTGTCTGGCTACTGCGCGATGGAAGAACGCTGCCGTTTCTGGCACCCAGAGAAGCAGCCCCCTTTGCGGGACTGCGTGGGGCCTGAACCTGCCCAGGCCAGCCCTCGGCCTGTGGGCCCACTCATCCGTCCACCTGTCCCCCGCCCTGCCGTGGTCAAGGATGAGGTCAAGCTGACCGAGCTGACCCAGGAGGTTGCCCGGCAATTACGGGAGACCGAAATCAGCCAGCTGATGAAGCGCTTCCCCAAGGACCAGCTGATTATTCAGGAGAGCGAAAGTGGGAAGCAGACCTACTACCGCATCGTGGTGGAGCCCACAGACCCAGACTGGGTAGGTTCTGGTTCCTTGGGGGGAGGGAAAGAAGAGTGAAAAGCTTCTATACTGTCAGAAGGAGCAGGTAGAGTCTGACAAGTTTCAGCATGAAGTGTACAGCACACAAGCTGCCCCCCCCACCTTGCTGGTAATGAAACCAAGTGTTGTAGATGCTGGAAATCTCAAACAAAGACCGAAATTGCTGGAGAAACTCAGCAGACCTGGCAGCATCTGTGGAGAGAAAAACAGTTGACACTTCGATGCCAATTCTGAAGAAGGGTCACTGAACTTGAAACATTAACTGTTTCGCTCTCCACAGATGCTGCCTGACCTCTGAGTTTCCCCAGCAATTTTTGCTCCTTGCTGGTGTTTCTTTGCTGCATGAGCTTTTTCATATTTCATTTCACCCTATCAGCATTTCATCTGTTTCTGTTGTGTGTCTTGTTCTTCCTTCTCCCCCCACCCCCTTCCCCTATTATTCATCCATTGTATTCGTCCATGCAGTGCACTTCAGTTTGAAACATACAGCTCAAGAAATGGCCATTCTGCATAGCCAGCCTGAATGCTAGCTGTTTCACACAATGCTTCAATTAGTCCCACACCCCTTCTCTGTCTGCATATCCTTATCCATTTTGCCATTAACATTGCAACCTTGTCACTAGGAGCTGGTTCCTAAAAATAAGTCAGGAATTGAAAGGGTAGAGGCAGTGATGTTTCAGCTGCTCCAAGGCCCTGGTAAAGCCTCCACTATGTGTTCCATTCTGGTTACTACCTGTCAGAAGGACCAATGGGCTAAGGTAAAGATTCATTAGAATGATACCAGGGTTACACGATGTTCAAATGATTCATAATATCAATAGGGAGGAAAGAATTTCCTCTGGCGCAGGAATCGAGAGCAAGGAGATCTAGTCTAAAATTTTGGGGGTGAAGTCATGAAGCAGATTTCCATACGAGAATATCAGAAATTTGAAATTCTGTTTTCCAAATTGTAATAGATACAGGGGAATAATTAGAAATTTGGTGATTGGAATGAGAAATTGTTTCTTGTTAGGTTAAGGTGTTGGGAGAGATGAAGCAAAGAGAGGAATATAGAACATAGTCAGCCCAGAATTGATGGAGTAAACCTTTAAAGACTGAATGGTTTGCTGCAGTCTGCCAAGATTCTGACACTGCAGCAGAAAGCGAAGTAAACTCATCACTCATCCTGGTTTCTTATCCTCTTGTTTAAGAGCCTTCCCCATGTTTGGGCACTGTTCCACTTTGGTTATTTTTGTATATATTCTTTCATTGGATGTAGACTAGGGCCAGCACTTGGTGCCCATCCCTAATCATGTTTGAATTGAGTGGCTTGTTTAGCCAATAGAGGGCAACTTAAAATCAGTTCCATCGTTGTGAGTCTGGAGTCGCGTGTTGCTCAGACCAGGCATGAACATAAGAAATAGGAGCAGGGTTAGGCCATCTGGCTATCATGGCTCATCTTTGTGGACTCAGCTCCACTTGTCCGTCCGATCACCATAATCCTTAATTCCTTTACTGTTCAAAAATCCAGATATCCTTGCCTTAAAAACTTTCAATGATGTAGCCTCGACTGCTTCACTGGGCAGGGAATTCCACAGATTCACAACCCTTTTGGTGAAGATGTTCTTAAACTCTGTCCTAAATCTGCTCCCCCTTATTTTGAGGCTATGCCTCCTATTTCTAGTTTCACTTGCCAGTGGAAACAACCTCCCTGCTTCAGTCTTATCTGTTCCTTTCAGAATTTTATATGTTTCTATAAGAACAGCAGGGTTCCTACGTTAAAGGATACTCCTGAAGCAAATGGGGTTTTTAGCCACAATTGATGATTAGTTTTGTAGTCACCATCAAGGAGACTAGCTTTCAATTGCAGGTTTTATTTATTAAATTTAAAATCCACTAGTGATCTTGGTCTTTCAAACCCATTAGCCTGAGGCTGTGGATTATGAGACCAGTAACGTTACTCCACTCCCCTCTTTCCTAGTGGGACCTTCAGAATTAGGTATTGGCAGTCTGTGGACTATGGAGTGATCATGGCTAATGTTCAATGTTACTCTTACTTGATTTTTCCTGCTTTACCCCTGCCATCACCACTGTCACCACCAAGGGAACAGTGTTGCTTGCAGTTCTGCCTCTGCCCCAATTCTGATCAAATAATTCAGTGCAGATGGCTATTCCCCTGACTGTAAGTTGACACTTTACTGCAGACTACTCAGGTGTGTCATGTTGCCACCAAGTGGCTTTCACCACTCCCTCTTACAGTCTGCCATCAGGCTGTACAACTGTAGCCACCTTCACTCTGTGCCCTTGTGTCTCAGAAAATGGTTAGATACAATGCAGAATTGGACCATTTGGCCCATTGTGACTGTGCTGGCTCTCTGCAAAATTAGTCCACCTCATGTTACTTCTAGATTTCATCCCTGTTCTCTGCATATTTTCCCTTTTCAGATAACGATCCAATTCCCTTTTTGAAAGTTTTGATTGACTTTTCCTTCACTATGCTCTCAGGAAGTGCATTCTAGACCTGAAACACTTGTTACATCTTACCTCTTTTGATAATTTCCCTAAACCTGTGCTTGCTGGCTCTCAGTTCTTCTACCAGTGGTAAATGTTTTTACCTATCTACTCTGTCCATACTCCTCATGATTTTGAACATCTCTACCAAATCTCCTCTATTCATTTCACAAAGGAAAACAATTCCAGCTTCTCTGCATAAATGCAGTCCCACATTCCTGGAATGATTCTTATGAGCATTTTCTGCACATTCTCTAATGTGTTCAATTCCCTCCTAAAGTGAGATTCCCCAAACGAAATCCAGCTGACGCCGAGCCAGTGTTTTATAGAGAAGTGGAAACAGAAGAAGTTGGAGAATCTCAGCAGGTCTGCCACCCCGTGTGGAGAGAGAAAGAGAGTTAATAGTTTGATCCAGTTTGAATTGATTTCAGAAAGGCGATCGATACCAGACTCAGCATTAACTCTTTTCTATCTCCATAGCTGCCAAGTATTTCCATACATTCATTTTTTGATTCATATCTGCAGTACTTTGCATTTATTTCAGTGTTTTATACATGATTATCATTTCCTTGCTTTTGCACTCAGTCCACATTGATGAAGTCTAAGATGCTGAATGCTTTATTCACCAGGGTTTCCAGCACCCTGCCACCTTCAACAGTCTACACATACGTATCTGCAGGTCCCTCTATTCCTGCCCCCTTTTAGAATTGTACCCATTATTTTGTACGGTCTCTTTGTATTCCTCTCACCAAAATGATTCATTTGCACTTTGAGTCATAAAGTCATACAGATATACAGCATGGACGCAGACCCTTCGTTCCAACTCATCCATGCCGGCCAGTTACCCTAAATAAATCTAGTCCCATTTGTCAACATTTGGCCCATATCCCTCTAACCCCTTCCTATTTGTGTACCCATTTGGATGCCTTTTAAATGTTGTGATTGTACCAGTCTCCACAACTTCTTCTGGCAGCTCATTCCATAAACACACACACATGAAAAGGTTGTCTGTTGGATCCCTTTTAAATTTTTCCCCTCTGACCTTAAACCTATGCCCTCTAGTTTTGGACTCCCCCACCCTGGGGAAAAGACCTTGTCTATTCACTCTATCCATGCCCCTCATGATTTTATAAATATCTATAAAGTCACCCCTCAGCCTCCAATGCTCCAGGGAAAATAGCTCCAGTCTATTCAGCCTCTCCCTATAGCTCAAACCCTCCAACCCTGGCAGCATCCTTGTAAATCTTTTCCAAACCTTTTCAAGTTTCACAACATCCTTCCTATAGCAGTATTCCAGTAGTGACCTAACCAATGTCCTGTACAATCGCAACATGACCTCCCAACTCCTATACTTAATGAACTGACCAATAAAGGCAAGCATACCAAATGGCGCCTTCACTATCCTGTCTACCTACAACTCCACTCAATGTGAACAATGAACCTGCACTCTAAGGTCTCTTTGCTTCTCGGCATTAAATTGCATTCACCGCTTGTCTGCCCTTTCCTCCACCTGTCTTGTGTCCTTTTAAGCTCCACACTATAATTTGCATTGTTCACAATACTTCCAAGTTTTGTATCCTCTGCAAATTTTGAAATTGTATGCTGGGTCATCAATATATGTACAAAATGTACCCAGGAACAGCAAGGGTGCTAAAACTGTTTTTTCCTTCATAGATGCTGCCAGACCTGCTGAGCTTTTCCAGCAACTTTGTTTTTGTGCTAAAACTGACACTGGAGTGCTCCACTACAAACATTCCTGCATCCAAAAATAAAACGTTCATCTCTACTGTCTGTTTCCTGTCACTTAGCCCATTTGGTAGTGATGTTGTTCATGGTCCCTTTTATTCCATGAGCTCAAATTTTGGCTCTCAAATCAGCGTATGGCATATGAAAGTGCCAGGTATTTCACACCAACATCATAACCCTCATCAGCATACTCTTACTTCATCAAACATGTTAAACACAATTTTGTCTTCTCAAATCCACACTGGTTATTTTATATTAACCTGCATTTGTTCATGTGACTATTAGTTAAGAATCCTGATTTCTACCAGCTTCTTCACTCCAAGGTTAAACTGAATAGCCTGAAATTTCTGGGCTTGGCTTTGAACAAGGATCTCCTTCAAGCTCTTTACTGTCTTTGATCGCTCCTAAATGTTCCATCTCTGTATTTCCATTTCAGTTCACCGCCAACTGTATATTCATGGCCCTCTCTAATGTGTCCCAAGCACTTTGTGCACCCTCCCTTTTATTAGCGACCTGCCAGCCCTTGATGACATGCTAATACACCAACAGTGCAGAATACTGCCAGTGTTAGCAACTATTTGCAAGCTGCTGAAACTTGATGCTGATTTCAGTGAGGTCTGTGGTGCCTTGCGTGGCCCGGCGGTTGCTTTTGTAAAACCTGGGCCCTCCATTGAGATCTCATGCCTTATCAGTGACACCATCCTACTTTTCAAATGTTGCCTCAGATATTACTCACCCTGTCTGCTGCTGAAAGCTGAGTTCCAGTGTTCTCTTTGACCAGGCCCTTACTTCTCATGACCTCCACGGTCCAAGTTTCCCCCTTTTCTGCCCCACCACAAGCCCCCATATTTGGCAACCTGTCCCCTTCCAGTTCCACTTCCTCTTTGCTACAACCCCTTTCCCACCTCTTCTGTTCTTATCCCAGTTGCTAGATCCTTGTTTTTATTTCACTTTGCAGCCTCAGCCTCCCCATCTAGGGCTTTTTCTCCAAACATTCAACTTCAGTCCACCCAATCCTCTGAGTCACCTTACTGTCTTGACCTCAAGATTGGTGCTCAGGACCTCAGCTTCTAAATCCTCACCCTTTGCAATGCTCTTCTAAATCCACTTTGGCTTTAAGAAGCTCCTAAAAGCCTGACAGTTTGCTGAATCTAGAATTTCCCCTTTTCCACCTGCATGCCCCCACCTTCTCTGAAATGCTGTAATCTGTTGACTTTGTTACTTACCTGACATTGCTACGTTGGTTCTGTTTTTCATCTGTTGCAGCCCTTTGATTTGAAGGAGATGGATATTCAGATCTGCTTCCCAGATGAATACCCTTTGGAGGTAAGAGGTAATAATCCTCACTGCACAATAGTTTCTCTGTTCGATGTCAGTGCTTTAACTAGTTTGCTCTTGTATTGCGTGTACTTAGGCTGAGCAAGAGAAAACCAATCAGCTGGTGGTTTCTGTCTGACCGAAGAGGTTTTAAAATAATAATGTAACCGCAATTAGGCAGCCACATTCGTCTGGATACTGCTGGTACCCTAATTCTCTTTCTGTCCTGTCAATGTGCTCCATGTTGTCTGTCCAAGTGGGCAAAAAGAGATCATCAAGCTATAATTTACAATTGGCAACCAAAAACGCATGCATTAAATCTTTAGCTGTGGTGACATCTCAATTTTCAAATCGCTTCATGGCCTCCCTTCTCCCTAACTCTGAATTTGCCCCGTCTCCACAACACTCTGAACTTCTCCAGTTCAAGTCTGTTGCACATCAGATCGGTCATGATCTCATTGAATGGCAGAGCATGCTTGAAGGACTGAATGGCCTACTCCCCCCTAATTCATATGTCTGTATCCCCAGTTTTCATTGCTCCATTATTGGCAGCCATCCTATTAATTACTAGCTTCCAAGCTTTGGAATCGGCCTCCTTAAACATGTCCAACTCTCTACCTCTCTCCAATCCTTTGAAGTGCATCTTAAAACCTACTCTTTGACTAATCTTTTGGTTTGGGGCTGGTGGGGTGTTTTTGTGTGTGTGGTGTATTGGCGGTGACATCTGCCAGTTGGAGCTTGCAACCCTGTGAGGAGTCCTGACTCCTCCTATGAGAAGCCCTGGCCTAAATTGAACAACTTTTTTCCTTGCCTGGGCAACAGTCACATGGGCAGTCTGAAGGTCTATTTTCATCCTCATTCCTATGTTTGTAGCAATATCCTTGTCAGTGACTGACACCAAATCACCAGTCTGAATCAGAATGCATCTGATACAGGAAATGGAAGAGGAACACCATAAATTTAAAGGCGTTTATGGTGTGTTTTGAGAAATTTCTTTGTCAACAAGTGATGAGTTCTGACATCTATCCTGTATGTACATTCAATGGTTCTGACAAATCTCGCCACCGACATTTCGTATTATGTGAATGAGAAGTAGTATCCCTAATAAATATTAACTTTCCCATCTCTCTCACTTTGATACTTGAACCTTTGTATTTTTCTCTAATTTTAAGGTGTTCACCGTGGAAATCCCTGAGGATCAGGATCTACCAGCATCTATGGGAAGGTAAGGAAGGAAATTGAGGAAAAGATTAACTTTCCCACCTGGCATTATGACATTGATTGGGTGTTCACTATTTTTAAACTTCCACCATCTTCAAAGATCAGTTGGAACTGATCCTGTCTGACTGATTAAAAATTTGGACTGGGAATCAGCATACAAGAATGAAAGCACTACTTTTAATTCTGTATCAGCGGATTCTGATAAGCAACACTGAATTCTGTGCAGTGCATTGTATTGAATATGAGCATTTGCATCTGGGAGACTTTTCTCTCTTTGTTTGGCCTCCAGTTGATAGCCCACAACCTGCTCTCGCCCAGCGCTAATCCATCTGAGTCTATGGCCCAGGCATCCTTCTATTGATTGCCTCTGCCTCTGTCCAGGATTCCAGTTGGCTCCTCTCTCAGAATAATAAGGAAACCAGTGTATGGGTGTCAAACTCATATCCCATAGTTACTGAAAATAGCAATTGGACATATCAGTTATCAAATTTAACTTTACTTTGCAGCCCAGTAGTTTCATGAACAAAAACAAAGTTGCTAGAAAAGCTCAGCAGATCTGGCAGCATCTGTGGAGGAGAAAACAGATTTAACGTTTCGGGTCCGGTGACTTCAGTAGTTTCATGACGTGGGCATGTAGCAGAGGGTAGATCTTCCCATTCACACTCATACCTAAGAGGATGTAAAGGTTTAACCCTGTAGGTATACTCTCATTCAGTTAGATGTGAATTGTCATTTTCTCCTTCAGTAAAATTACTAGTTGTTAGTATTGATGGTAGGGTGTCCTCACGTGGTCTAACGTAGCTCTGAAGACATTTGAAGGTGACTGCCTCCTGTGCCTAGCTCTTGTTAATCAATAATCAGAGGGCTGTGTAATGGCATGTTGGTTATGTTGTTAAAAATATACCGGTTTGAACATTTTGATAAAATTCAGGTCAAGCAGTATCTGTGCAGAGAAACTCAGATACTTCTTGACCTGAGTTTTAGCGTTTGTTTTTTTCTCTTTTTCTTTTGGTTTTGTTCTTTCCTCACAGTTCCAGCATCTGCAGTAGTTTCGTTTAGGTGGAATTCATTTGGTTTAACACATAGTGCTGCTTATTACTAAAGAGTTGGCCCCTTCATGCACCAAGTGGCAGATGGATTTCCTTAAACTCAGCAAATGAAGAGGCAATCACTCAACTCTGGGGATTTGCATTTCCTAAATAATATTTTTAAAAATTGCTTCATTATGACTTGGGAGCATGAAGAGATTGCCGGGACACTAAGACTGTATCCTGTCAATAAATCTACAGTCAAGGAAAACAACTGTGCCTTGATTTGTATTTCAACATGTTACTTGGATCTGGCTAGAGCTTCTGGAGATGAGTAAAAATCAGTTTGGAAACCTATCCCAGTGTTTGTTGCATCTCCCGGTGCTTTATAGCGTAGCAACATCTCTCTCTCAAATCAGAAGGATAGTATGGAGACAGAAAAATGCTGATAGGGTGAACAGTGAAGTAAATCTCATTTCTCCTCCCCCAATCACCTGTGCCTTCACAGAAGAGTGAAAAAAGTGGAGCTTAAATCTATTTTGTGACTGTAGTGAAATGTTATCATTCTGTTAATTCCTGTTTCTGAGCTCTGTCTTATAATTTTACATCAGTACGATCACTCCTGTCTTTAATTCAGGCATGTGTGCATGGCTTCAGAGGAGTGGTTACGGGCAAAACATGCCACCAACCGGTTGATGGGCAAGTTGGAGTTGTTGTTTCGTCCATACCTGCGGTGGCTGGACCGCAACATGGAGAAGCTATTCACTGAGGGAGCTAGGCAGGTAAAACACATCTTCCCCATTCAGTCATACTGTCCTTGCATTGTACACGATAATGTTGTGCTCCACTCTGTAAGCTTAGACTTGATTCTACACCATGGAGTAGAAACTTCAGTGGACATTGAGTGGGATTATTTTTCCTGTTTATTTCCATTGAAGTTTTAAAAATTAAAGAGACGGATATTGTCATGATCTGAGCTGATATTAATACTGAACAAATCAAATTCCAAAGTGAAACCCAGTTTGATAGACGAGAGGATTTTCATTTTGTAATTTGTTTATCATGGTGGCCAGTTACTGAACGTGTTCACAAGAGGCTGCCAATGTTCTGTTAACAAAACAAAGTTTTATTATAAATGAGGAAGAAAAACTATTTTATGCGATATAACAACTAATTGAAATTATCTTATCAATAAATATTGGAAATAAAGATTTGACCTTTGTACCCTCAGTAACAACAGAAGCCTGAACACACGCACCAGCAGGTTCAAGAACAGCTTCTTTCCGGCTGTTATCAGGCTGTTGAATGGACTCTAGCCTCAAATAATGTAACCTGCAATGTAACCTGTGTGCCTCTAAATCTTTTTGATCTGTACGTCTTTGCTTGCTGTGATCTACCTGTACCACTTGTAAACAAAGCTTTTCACTGTATTTCGGCACACGTGACAATAAAATCAAAATCAAATCAATTCAAATCAAATCAATTCAAAGATCCTTAAAGCTGATTGAAGGGTCATCGTATTCAGTGGGCATGGCTGTACTGATACTATCTTCCTTAGTTAATGTCTCTTCATGAGACTCATAAACAAACTGCTAAAACAGCTCATTTCTTCCTTAATCTAATGCATTTGGCAGCCTTGCAGAATGCTTTTTCTCTCTGACATCTTAAAGGTGTACTATTTCTGGAGCTTTCTCTTACCTCTAAGCTAGAAGAATTTCTTTTCTTCTACCCTGATTGTTTTAGAAACTGCTAAACTGCACTCGTGCTCTTACAAACCTTTCTGTCTGAATAATGTACTTCTTCCTGAAAGAAGCCTGTCAGTTCATTGACCTTCTCTATATTTCTCCCTGCTTGGGAACTTGGTTCATTCTCTTGTCTCCCTGTGTGATGAACACATTGTTGCTAGGCGACAATCCAATTTCTTGCCCTCTCCTACCCCTTTGTCTAAAGCATTGAGCTATTCACCTCAAAGTGTTTTGTTTAAAAGCATGATTTAAACAAATTTCCAGACAACTTTTCACCACGCTCAAGTCAAAACTGAAAATAAAATGCTGTCTCCCCTTAACACAGACAATATAGAAATATAAATCAAGCTTAAAACTATACATGGTTCTGTCAAATGTAGAACCCATGTTTTCAAATGATAAATATTAATAACCATCATAACAATATCATTTCAGTGTCACCTGTGGCAGTACCATTTTCGCCCCTTGTGCCAAAATATCATGAGCTCAAATTCCACTCTTGAGATGTGAGCACCAAATTAAAGCTGTGTAAGGTGCTGGACTGAGAGGTTGCTCTGCTGGCGGAGGTGCCACCCTTCAGATGGGATGTTAAAGTTTTTCCGTGTACAGAAAGATCACATGGCACCATCTTGAAGAAGAGCAAGGGAGTTCTCCCCAATGTGCTGGCCAATCACTGAAGCCGATTAATCTGGTTAAGATTAAATTGTTGCTTGCGGAGTCTTGCTGTGCACAGATTGTATATTATTTCCTATCTAACTTTCATTAAACTTGATTTTCCTTTGCTCTTTCCAGATAAAGAGGGAATTAGAGGCAGAGAGAGCCGGGATACACATTGTTCCCTACCAGCAGCTGCGAGCACGTTTACCTGGCGCCATACCTTCGCAAACAACAGAGATGTCTGCGGGCCCTCAGAAGGAGGATGGCAGTGAGGAACTGTCCCAGAAGCTGCGGGACGTCAAGGTGGCAGAATCGGAAAGTCCCGAAATGAGTGGCACAGGGAGTGAGATCAGCACCAGTGAGGAGGAGGACAATTGTTCGAGGACTGGCTCACCATCTGGTGACCGGCACGAGCTGGCAGGAAAGTCTGACCCTCCGATCCCATGTAAGGGCACTGCAGTGCGGCTTGTTGGCCTAGAGTTGGGGGAAGGGACGGCAACACTGTCAGCTCAACAGATCACCATGTCGCTGAAGTGCAGCAGGTACGATTAACCCGTAATGTGTGTCCATGTAAAACTATTAGAATAGCAGTGTCGTTTTTAAGCAAGGTATGTCCTGGAGACATAAAAACGTAAGAAATAAGAGCAGGATTAGGCCTTTAGACCCTCAAACTCTGCTCTGGCATTCCACGATCACATCTGATTAGCTGAGGCCTCAACTCCTTTTTTGTGCCAGCTCAGCATAGCGTAGAACCATAGAAAGTAGAAGTAGGCCATTTAGTCCTTTAAGCCTGCTGTGCTATTCAGTATGGCTGATCATCCAACTTAGTGCCCTGTTCCCACTTTCTTCCCATACCCTTAGATCTCTTTAGCCCTAAGAAAACATGTTTTGGTCTCAACCATTTTCTGTGACAGAGAATTCCACAGACTCATTACTGTCTAGGTGAAGAAATTTCTCCTTATCTCAGTCCTAAATGGCCTACCCACATCTGTAGACTATGACCTCTATTTCTGGGCTCCTCAGTTATAGGGAGCATCCTTCCAGCATTTGTCCTGTCTCATCCTGTCAGAATTCTATCAATTTCTCTCAGATTTCCCTCTTCTAAACTCCAGTGAATATAGTCCCAATTGATCCAGCCTGTCTTCATACATTAGTCCTGCCACCCCAGGAATCTGTCTGGTAAATCTTCATTACACTCCCACCCTGGCCAGACCATCCTTCTTGAGAAAGGAGACCAAAACTGCACACATTTCTCCAGATGTAAGCTCATGTAGGCCTTGTACAATTGCAGTAAGACATTCCTGCCCCTCTACTGTTATCTTCTTACTATGTAGGCTAACATGCTATTTGCCTTCTTCACTGCCTGCTACACCTGCATGCCTACTTTGTGTCTGCTGTAAAGGGCACCCACATCTCGTTGCATCTCCCCTTTTTCCCAGTCTCATCAATCAGATAATAATCTGTCTTTCTGATTTTGCTACCAACATGGATAACTTCACATTTATCCACATTATACTTAACCTGCCATGCATTTGCTGACCCACTCGATATGTCCAAATCACATTGAAGCATCTCTGTATCCTCCATAATTATTCCTCCCACCCAGCTTTGTATTGTCTGCAAACTTGGAGATATAACATTTAGTTCCCTTTCTCAATCATTGTGTATGTTCTGAATAGCTGCGAAGCAAGCAATGATCATGCGGTACCCCATTAATCGCTGCCTGCCGCTCACAAAATGACCCAATTATTCCTAATCTTTGTTTCCTGTTTGCCAACCAGTTCTCTATTCATGTCCCCTATCCCATACACTTTAATATTACATGCTAATCTTTTATCAATAGTCTTCTGAAAGGTCAAGTAACCACATTAACCGCATCCCCCTTATCCACTCTACAAGCTGCATTCTCAAAAAATTCCAGCAGACTTGGCAAACACAACTCCCCCTTTGGAAATAAATGCTGATTCTAAACAATTTTGTCATTTTCTTCCAAGTATTCTGTTGTTACATCTTTTATAATGGACTTGAGCATTTTCCGTAGTACTAATGTTGGGCCAACCAGTCTGTAATTTCCTGTTTTCTCTGTACCTTATTTTTTAAATAAAGGGCTACTTGAAAGATGTCCCCCATCAATACGTCCAACTGTTTCAAGGCCAATTTCTTAGAAGCGCATATGTTAACATTGTACCATCAGAACAGAAGCTGTGTCACTACTCAGTTACTCCCACCTATTGTGCTCTTTCCCATGGTCCTACAAATACACTTTTTTCAAACGTTTATTCAATTTCTTTTTGGAAACTGATCTACTTGCGCTGCACTGCCAGTTAATTCATTTCAGAATCTGAAATATCCCCTCTGGATTCCAGCCTTTCCTCCTCCAAAACAAGTTTCATAATTTGAATACTTCAGTTAAAATCTCCCTTTTAATTCTCAGTGCTTGGAGGAGAGCAATGTTGCCTTCCCCAGACTCTTCACGCAAGTCTGTTGCTTTGGTATCATTCTGGTTGATCTCTGTACTCTCTCGAAAGACTTGCCATCCTTCCTGAAGTGCGTGGCACCCAGAATTAGGCACATTTCTGTAGTTGACCAGTTATTTATAAATTTTTACTATAACTTTCCATTTCTAATTCTTTTCATGGGACGTGGGCCTCACTGGCTGGGCAGGCATTTATATCGTTAGCAACTCCTTTGACTGTCCAACTGTCTTTCTCTCTCTTCGGGCTCTATCCTATCGTTTACTCCCTACCCCACCCACCTCCCTATTTTCTGCATATAAATTGACGTTTTCCCAGCCACCATCAGTTCTGAGGAAGGGTCACCGGACCTGAAACATTAACTCTGTTTTCTCCTTCACAAATGCTGCTAGACCTGCTGAGCTTTTCCAGCAACTTTGTTTTTGTTCCTGATTTACAGCATCTGAAGTTATTTTGGTTTTTTTTGGGCATTTATATTTATTGCCCATTCCTGGTAGCCCTGGAGATGGTAGTAATGAGCTGCCTCCTTGAACCACTGCAGTCCATGTGCTGTGGGTTGACGCACAATGCCCTCAGGGAGGGAATTCCAGGATTTTGTTCCAGCAACACTGAAGGAACGGCGATATATTTCAAAGTCAGGATGGTGAGTGGTCTGGAGGGAAACCTGCAGATGGTGGTATTCCCATGTATCTGCTACCCGTGTCTTTCTAGATAATAGAAGGCCCAGATTTGGAAGGAACTATCTAGGAAGCCTTGATGAATGGTGTTATAGTAATAAAGCCTTCTTCATTAATGAGTGTTTTTATGTCATGATGCACGTGAAACAATTTTATCAGCAGAATTGGGTAGCACGGTGGCTCAGTGGTTAGCACTGCTGCCTCACAGCACTAGGGACCCAGGTTCGATTCCACCCTCAAGCGACTGTCTGTGTGGAGTTTGAACGTTCTCACTGTGTCTCCGTGGGTTTCCTCTGGGTGCTCTGGTTTCCTCCCACTGTCCAAAGATGTGCATCTTAGTGGATTGGCCATGCTAAGTTGCCAGTAGTGTCCAGGTGTGTAAGTTAAGTGGATTAGCCATGGGAAATGTACGGTTACAGGGAAAGGGTAGGGGGATCGGTCTGGATGGGACGCTGTTTGGAGGGGCAGTGTGGACTTGTTGGGCTGAATGTCCTGTTTCCACATTTTAGGGATTCTATGATGATTCTATGTAAGATTTGGTTGACATTTATCTCTGGAGCTGTAGGTACACATCTACACTTGTAATTTCTTCTTTTCAGTGTGGGCATTAATTCAGCTGGGTCTGGAGTCATGTGTAGCAGAGCTCCAAAAGCTTGTGATTTCAAATAAACTTGTTGGACTGTAGCATGTGTTGTGTGACTTTTGACAGAGCATCCTCTGGGTTGCTAATCCATAATCATGATCACTCAACCATTTGGGAAATCTCATGTAGTTCTGACTGGATACAGGTCGAAGAGAAAGCTGTGCAGAGTGTAGATGTCAGTCCTACTCTGACCAGTTACTGCTGAGTATCAATTGCCTATCAAATTGTCCACTAGAAAATTTCCTTTCTGATTTAGTAAAACAAATCAGCAACAAAGAGGGTTATTGGACATGTGATCACAATACTCAAGCTCCCATCATGGTTTGGTTGTTAAAACTATAATGTGAAACCCAAAAATATGTAAGTGCTTTTGGACTGCTCAGTGTTTTTGTTTCTGTAATTAGGGAGTGCTGGTAGGTATTGTATATATGAGTACATTGACCTGTATGTGTAAGGAAGTTTATATGTTGATAATTTCTAATCTACTTGTTCAGATGTGTCATTGCACACCTCTGGAGTAGGTAGGACTTGAACCTAAGCCTCCTGGCCCCAAGGTAGGGAAACTACCACAACACCACAGGAGACCTCAGGAGGTTTCTACGCATCATGATGTGCAACTATCTAGCGCTCGACACTGTGGCCAATTTTTCCCAATCGAGATCCAATCTCTGAGCACAGTTTTCACCATAAGCATCTCTTTTTCCTGTATCTCAACCATTTGTCCACATCTTTTAAATCTCTCACCCCTTGGTAAAGCTCCAATTTTCTTCTCATTTACAAACTGCCTTAACAACTCTTTTGAACATTTTTGCAAAGACCAATTCATTCCTGTAATTTATCTGTACTTTTTTAAACAAAAGCACTGATGTATAACTGCAGAGATGCACATCTGATCTATTCTGCCTGCATTGGGAGTCGTGTAACATTTCCGTACACTGATAGTACCAAAGTAACCAAAACAATGCAATTGAGAAAAACATACAGCAATATGTCTTTTAAGATTAACTGTTTTGTTCATGCATCAGAAGTCTCACACATTCATACTTCCTTGTTAAACTTGGGAGTATCATAGCACATAGCACAGCACAGGAATAGGCCCTTCAGCCCACCATGTCTGTGCCAACCATGATACCATTTCCAAATTAATCCAATCTGACTGCATATGGTCCATATCCCTCTATTTCATGTCTCTTCATGCATCTGTCTAAATGACTCTTAAACTCTGCTAACATATCTGCTTCTACCGCCTCCCCTGGCAGCAAAACTCCAGTTATCTACCACCCTTTCTGTAAAAAAAAAAAAAAAAAAAAAATTCCTCGCACGTTTCCTTTAAACTTTTCCACCTCAGACCTTAAACCTATGTCTCTCCACCCCCCTGCCGAGTGTTGTAGAATTAACGAGCAGTTATTCTGTTCACCTTGGAAGCTAATGCATTGAAACTTATTGGAAATGTCTGTTTGTATTACCTCTGAAGCTCAATCTCCTGCACTGCCTCATTTTATTTTAAGTTGGACATGTTAATATTGTTTTCCTGAAATCCCATTTTAACTGTTAGGTCTTCTTATTTGGCTAGTTTTTTTTTTAGCAAACTCAATTGTGACAAACCCAAACTGTTGGCCCAGGTACAGTCTTCAGAAAGGACCCCATTATTGGGTCTTTCATTGAGTTAGTTATTTCTAACTCATCCCAGACTTCAGTCCATAAATAAGACATCTTCTGTTTATGATCCTGGGTTGATCCGGTTTGTAAATGACAGTAGCTGTGTAGAAGTATCTAAAAGTTTAACCTTCTATGAAGTCTTTCAGCCGTGAGATTGCCTTGCATATGGATTCATTTCTCATTGACTCCTGTGTGCCTGCTGTGTTTACATGCTAATGGCAGGGATGTAAAGCATATTATGGACTAATGAGCAATTTCCCAAGACTAACCATTTGTTCGCTTTATTCTAAAGGTGCAAAGTTGCTTCAGATCTTACTGTGTCCCAGAAGTGCCCTTCGTCTGTAAGCTGTAAGAAATGTAACACAGACATCAGCATAGCATTTCAGCCCAGTATAGTTCATGAGCACTCAGACATCATGGGATACCTGGAACTGCGTGGATGTGTCCCTGTAGAATTAGTGATACAGGACAGTCAGTTTGCTGTGGGCTGTCTAAAATGCTCCAAGGAGGGATCGCTGCAGGTCAGTGGATAAAATGTGGATTCTCTTAAAGCAGCACATCATGTCCTAGGGATCCATGAACCTTTTTATTTCTACTGTGCAGAAGGTCAATAGAGGTGCGCAGTGCAAAGATACAAGTGTTGTGTTGTAGTGACTTGAAAACTCCAGAAATTGCTGACATCTTAGCCACATCAGAATTGCAGAGTCTGCCAACTAACTTAAAGGTTATTTCCTCATTCAGACGTAACTGAAATCAGGAATGTCAGATTTGAATGAACAGTTTGTATACGTATTAGGAGCAGGAGTAGTCTGCTTGGCTCCTCAAGCCTGTTCCGCCATTTAATAAGATCATGGCTGATCTGATTACTCCATGTTCCCCCTTATCCCTGACACCTTTCACCCTCTTACTTAATAAGAAGCAAGCTACCTCTGCTTTTGAAATGTTCAAGGACTCTCTTCCTCAAAAGGCAATGGAAGCAGAGTTCCAATGACACTCCATTCTCTATGGGGTGCGGGTGGAAACGAATTGTTTAATCATTGTCTTAATTGCATGATCCCTGAAACAGTGACCCCCAAGTCCTAGATTTTCCAACAAGAAAAAACAGTCTCCCCATCCACCCTGTCAAGCTCCCTCAGGATCTTTTATGTTTCAACTCTTCTAAACTCCAGCGCATACAAGCCTTGTCTGTCCAATCTTTCCTTATAAAATTACCTGCCTATTCCAGGTTGCTTCTGCGGTATCAGCTGGTATATCATGTTCAGATGCCAAAACACCTGCTACACATTTCCAGTTAATTCTGTGGTTATTTCATGTTTCTGGCATTTGCCAGTTTTTTGTTATTCCCAAGATTGTGTTACACCAGTAAGCTCCCTCCTAATATTAAACAACAGAGGTGGATCACTAGTGTGCACTAAGGCTTAAGTCGCTGGCTTAAGGAAAAGCTAAATACCAGTTAATGGAAAAATCCTCATGCACGCATGCATTCCCCATCATCACCAACGGATCTTGGTACTCTGAACTGAGGGAATTGATTACAGGTCTAATGGGATGCTTGAAACACACAAGAACAGAAATTGCTGGAGAAACTCAAAGGGTCACTGGACCGAAAATGTTAACCCTGTTTCTTGCTTCACAGATGCTGCCGGACCTACTGAGTTTCTCCAGCAATTTCTGTCTTTGTGTGTTTCAGGTCTCCAGCGTCCACAGTTCTTTGTTTTACTAACAGGAAGTTAGTCTAATATGCTTCCTGTAGGTGAAAGCTGTAGAATGAGTTGCACTAAAGGGACAGATTAAATTGTGTGCAAGCTCTTTGAAAGTCCTGTTTGACCATAGCTGTGCTTCCTGAACTGCGTTGGTTCCCAATCTTGAAATATTTTTTTTTTAAAATTGGCCTCCTTGCTCTGTAATCTTTCCATAACCTCACTTCCTCCCTATCTCTGTAATCCCCTCTAGCTCAACAATCTTCACAAAACTCTGTGTTCCTCCGATTTCTCACCTCTCGCATATCCCTGATTTCCATCGATCTACTGTTGAGAGCCCTGTCTTCTGTTGCCTGGGTCCCAAACTCTGGCTATTCCTCCCCACAGCTCTGTGTCTTTCTACCTTGTTCTCGTCATTTAGGTTGCTCCTTAAAATGTGTCCTACTAACTTAGCTTTTGTTCACCAGTCCTAAAATCTCCTTGTGAGATTTGTATTAAATTTTTTCTAATAATACTGTGGGACCCTTGACTAATAGGCTCTATATAAATGCAAGTAATTGTAAATGTAGGCTCACACCAATTTTCACACTTCTGTTTTTTTCTTCAGATGATCAGTGATTACAAGTTAGCCAGCAGAAGGCAATGTCTTTCCTGTACAGTCCATTCCTGCTGGATTAGTACTGTGTTTAAAGCTAGTAATATGCTGAAAACACCAAACTTGTTCACCCAGGCATCTAAAGCCAGACACTAATGACACCATGAGCAGTAACCAGCCTATATATATATATTTAGGCAGCCACTTTTAGCTGTCACCATTTGGAGCCCTGCTCATGTATCCCAGTCTGAGAGACTAATCTGTTTCACTCAGGATGTTGTCCTTCACGTTGTGGGCCCACAACCAAAAAAGACTCAAAAACAATTATTAAAAAAATCTTACTAACTCAGCTGAAGTTTTTTTAATGGATTTGAAAAGCCTGGTGTAATTTTCCTACAAATGGCATAGTTCACTTCTCTTTAATCGCTCAAATCATTTAAAAGGTCTGAAAGTTTGCACTGTGAAATTAAGAATCATTTTTAACCACTAGTTTGCCTAATAAATGATTTGAGAATTCCTCAGAAGGGGCTTTGATTAATGAAGCTGGGAGTGGGAGGGAGGGGGAGTCTGTACCTGACTGCGCAAGTCTTATTGTTTCTCTCTGATTATCTAGGATCTCTCTTACGGCCGATACAAGGTGTTAAACTGCTTGCATTGTCACAGCAAACTCAGCATTATGGTGGAGGCTGCACAGTTTTATCAGATCCATGCCCAGTCACAGGATGAAACTGGTGAGTCCAAAAATGATTAAACTTAGTCTTCATTAGAGAGACAACCACAGGGTCAGAGGGCCAAGGAAACATGATGTGAGATGACATTGATTCAGTGTATAGGTGTGGAGTTTTGCACTGAATATACAGGATGGAAATGGTCATTTGGCACAACGAGTCCATGGCAACATTTGTGCCCCATTTGAGCCTTGTTCAATTCCTCCCACTCCTAATCCTTCCTCATTTGTCAGTGAAGCCCTCTCTTCACTACTCCTTCATATGTACTTATAACTCTTCTCCCCATCCCCACCCTTTGAGTCCATCTCTCAACTACTCATTTAGGTAATGAACTCCATATTCTCACTGCTGTCTCAGTAAGTAAGTTTCATCCCTATTTTTGTATTGGATTTCTTGGTGTTAATCTTAAATTATAACATTCATCCCAAGTGGCATAATTATTTTTGTGTCCACTCTACTAAACTCTACATAATTTTAAAGTCTCAACCCCTCCACATTCACTTCTCAAGAGAGGAGAGATTCGGGATAGCCTACCTTTCCTGTTGGGTAAATCTGTGCAGTTCTGACCATAAGCCAAAGAAATTTTAAGATAAGTTTAACTGTGAGGAGTTCCTTGCTTGAAGTTTAATTCAGAAATAGACTGTTATCTGATCCACTGAACATACACTTAGCTGAATCAACCAAACAAGAAGTGGACAGAGCTTGCTGTTTGCCAGGGGCAGGAGAAGTTCATTGGATGGGGCAATAAATTCTCAGTCTAAATCTCCTTTGCTCCACTTCCACTTCTGTAGTTTGTAAATCTAAGTATCTGCCACTTACTTCAAGAACATCCAGTAATCAGTTTTCTGCTCTAATCTATCACTGAAGATGCTAATAATTCAGTTCATCAGCAACAGAAGAGACAGCCCCCTGGACCTATTCTTCAGCTTGGGAAACCCCTGCCTGAGTTTGGTACCTGTACACACTTCAAAAAGAGTTTCCGCTGGCTAAGGTAAGGGTGCATTGCCGATCTCAAAATTGAGCCTCATAAGATATTATAGGTGGGGTGGGGTGGATGCAAGATTTTGGATAGTGTTCATTTGACTCTATTCTCAAGGAATGTGAAGGGGAATACTGCCATCTTGCAAGCTGCCCTGCAAGCCTCACGCCATCCTGATTTGGAAATAGATTGCTGTTCTTCACTGTTGCTAGATCAAAATCATTGACCTTACTCCCGAACAGTGCTGTGGGAGACTGCTCACCACCTTTTTGAGGAAAATTGGGGATGGGCAATAAATGTTTTCCTAGCCAGTGACGGCCACGACCTGTGAAAGAGTATGTTAATCTCAGTCGATGGCTATTGCATTATCCGGGGCATTGCCTTTCAGGATGGAAATATTGGACTTGGAAGAAATGCAGGATAGATTCACTAGAATAATGCTGGGCTTAAAAGGATTCGATTATAGTCTTACACCATCTTGATTCCCTTAAATATAGACAATTAAGGAAGTATAAGTGTATTCTTTATCACAATTAAAGGATCTGATAGAAAGTACTACCTGTGATGGTACAGCTAATTGGCTTGGAGTTAGTAAAAATCTGGAAAATGCTCTCACCCCCTCTCCAAAATATCTGTTGGGTCTGGGGGTAAATTGTAAATTTCAGACCCAAACTGAGTCAACTATAGTTAAGCAGTGGGGTTAATGGTTATGAAGCCAAGGAGGTTGAGGAATTAAGATGCAGATCAACTGTAATCGAATTGAATGGTGGGACAGGGCCCAGGGGGCTGATGATCTACTCCTGGTCTTGAATGAGCCACTATTGTTCCTGTTATGGATTTCAGTAAATCTGTAGTTAGTAATTCAGTAAATCCAATAATCTACAAGTACAGAGAAAATGACCACTGCCCATGGTTTTATTGTTCTCTGTGGACTGGTGCAGGACTTTTTCTTCTTTCAGAGGATATGGGCATCACTGGCAGGTCAGCATTTATTACCCGTCCCTAAATGTTCTGGAGAAGTGATAGACCGCTGCAGTCTGTTTGGTGTAGGTACATTTGCAGTGCTTTTATGAAGGAATTTCCAGGATTTTCACCAGTGCCAATGAAGGAATGACAATGTAGTTTTAATTTAGGATGGTGGATGGCTCTGATGGGAGCTTGCTTGTAGTTCATCTTTCATGAGAGAACTTGGAGACAGGTCATTCCATGACAAGTTCAAAGAAACTGCACTTGTTCCAACCTGCTATTGTATTCTTTCCTGCCTATTAGTCATCTCATTCCTAGCTAATATGTTATCACCTGATTCATTAGCATTTTTTATAATAGCTTCTTGTGTGACACTTGTGTGATTCTTTTTGAAAATCCAAATGCACTGCATTTCCCCATAATTTACCCTACCACATAGCAGATTTGTTAAATATGATCTGTTGTGTCTGTTGAATCATGCCATGATTGCATAAGTTCCCTGTTTCTACATCCCTGATAATAGATGCTGGTATTTCCAATTCAGCTTATACGAGGCTAACTGGCCTATGATTCACTATTTTGCCTCTCTTGCATTTCTTGCTCCTCAGTGACATTATCTGAAAGCATTATATTAGTTTTTACGTGTATATGAACAGCGCCCAGCTGTCCAACACTGCCACCCTCTTTTGATACTTCATTGTTGCTAAATTGTCAAATTGTTTGATCATTCAGTACAGAATGTTAGATGGCAAGTTCCTTCAATTAAATGTTAAGACAAGCAGAGCCAGATCTCTCATTCACTACCGCGAGCATTGCTCCCTAGTTAGTGACTCCATCAGTCTCTGTTGCAACTGTTTAAGATTGACCCAGACTGTTTGACAACCTTTCGTGGTCTTGACTGTGAAGTCAGTTTTCAACCACGCACTTGAGTTACCTCTGAGATGGCCCATTTCTCCCTTCTTGACATTGCCTGATACCACCCCCTGTCATTTTAAACTAGTAACTTAGGAGCAGGAGAAGGCTACCTGGCCCCTCAAGGCAGTTTTATCATTAAATAAGATTATATTTGACTGAATACTTTACATTCCTGCCTAACCTTAATAACCTTTCACCCCTTGTTTATCCAGCACTGCCTTAAAAATATTTGAAAACTCTCTTTTCAGGAAAAGAGTTCCATAGACTCATGACCCTCTGAGAGAAAATGTTTTTCCTCATCTCTTTAAATGGCTAACCCCTAGTTTTTTAAACAGTGACTCTGCATTCAATTTAAACAATGACTATTTGTTCAGGAGTCTTCCAGGAGATTAAATTCCTCTCCACATCCACCTTGTCAGAACCCCCTCAAGATTTTGTAAAATCCAGCAGTTACAAGCCATGCCTGGAAAGCCTTTCCTCGTAAGACAAGCTGCCCATTGGAGGTATTAGTCTAGTAAAGTTTTTCTGAATGCCTTTACTGTGTACTCCAGATATGGTCTGACCAGCGCCTGTATAACTGAAATATAGTCCACTACTTTTGTATTCGATTCACCTCACAATAAACAATGCCATTCTACCTGGCTCTGAAGAGTCACCTGGACTCAAAACATTAGCTTGCTCTCTCTCCATGGATGCTGTCTGACCCACTGTGATCTCCAGCATTTGTTGTTTTCAATGCCATTCTACCGTTCTATAAGTTTTCCTAATTACTTACACAATCTGTATACTAACCCTTACAATTATGTACTAGGACACTCAAATCCCTCTGTGTTTCAAAGTTCTATAATCTCTTACCGTTTAGATGATGCTTATTTTTCCTGCCAAAATTGACAATTTCACATTTTCCCACATTATTCTCCACTTTCCAGATCGTTGCCTCCTGTTTTGTAGACTTCTTATGTCCTGCTTTCCTTCCTATCTTTGTGTCATCAGCAAATTTAGGAACTGTACCTTTTTTATTTCTTCATCCACATCATTCATATAAATTGTTTAAAAAAAAAATTGAGGGCCCAGAACTAATCCCTGTGGTTTAGCACTTGTTAATCTTAAACCAGGAAATAATCCAGTGAAACCTTCTCTCAACTTCTTGTTATACAGCCAATTTTCTATGCATTCCAGTATGTTACCCTCTTGACCGTGAATTTCCCATATCCTTTGATTTGGCACCTTATCAAATGCCTTTTGGAAATTCAAGTACCACTGGTTCCCCTTTATCCACAACAAATGTTATTTCTTCAATAACTTGGTTAAACGTGATTTTCCTTTTACAAAACCATGTTGGGTCTACCTGATTACCTTGAGTGACCTGCTATAACGTATTTAATAATAGCTTCTAACATTTTCCCAATGACAGATGTGAATCTAACTGGCCTGTTGTTTCCTGCTTCCCCCTGACTTTTGTCTTAGCTGTTCTGCTACTGAAGCCTTCATTCATGCCTTTGGATTAGTCAAGTCTAGAGGTAGCAAGTGCTCCTGCCTAGTCTCCTGCATTTTAGCCTCTGTAAACATGAGGATGTCCAAATCTCTGCAGCACTTGCACTAAATACTGTTCAGCATTGCCCCTGTACTTGCTGACTTAAACTGATTCCTCGACAAACAAAGAGCTGCCTGTGGCCTGGCCACTCCCATTTCTGATCTCCCTGAGCCTCTCAATTCTTAGAGATATCTGCACTCTTCTAATTCTTGAACATTCTAGATTTTAATTCGTCCATCATTGGTGGTCATGCCTTCAATTGCTTGGGTCTTGAGCTCCTTAGTTGCTTCTGTTTGACTCTGTCCTCCTTCCGGATGCTTTAAACCTCCCTTCTTTCACCAAGCTTTTGATCACCTGCCCTAATATAATCTTATAAAAATTTGCTTTATAATCATCTTGTGGACTATCTCCGAATATTTCTGAACATTAAAGGAACTATAGAACAACAATTTTTGTTTCTTGCATTGCAGGATTGTATTTGCTACTTTCCAATCCCTGGGGCTCATTCTAAAGTCTTAAGGATTCTGGAAGGTCAAGACCAGTGCATCCATTGTTTGTTTCTCTCCTCTTTTAAAACTCTAGTTTTATGCCATAATTGGTGAATTTATTTGTTTAGTGCTATTCTTGTTTTATAGTGACTATGCATTGACGCCATTTAAAATGATATAGTTAATGTAGATATCATGCTCCCTTCCTGGCTCTTGTTCACTCGTAGAGGCACTCAGCTTGTTAGTGTCACCCTCATGAGGAGGAAGATAATGCCAGGTAGAGTGGCATTTCCTCCACCAGAGGATTGACTTAGACCTGAAACCAATTATTCACTTGACTGCACATGTAATGTATTTGTTCCCATTGTAATACTCCCGGATATTTGGAATGGACAGTTTGCTCCTTTTGGGACTATTTTCAATTCAGTCTAAACTCTTGGTTATAAATCACATTCATATTGAGAAAGAAGTTGAAAATGCTTAGGGGATCGTGGGCTTTATGCATAGATGCATGGAGTACGAAAGCAAGGAAATTGTGCTGAGTCTTTTATAAAACACTGGTTTAGCCTCAGCTAGAGTATTGTCAGGTTCTGGGCATCACACTTAGGAAGAATGTCAAGACTTGAGAGAGGGGGCACTAAAGATTTACATGAATGATTCCAGGGATCAGAAGCTGCAGTTACAAGGTTGGAGAAGTGTGAAGAGAATTTGATAGCAGTGCTGATAACCATAAGGGATCTACAGAATAGATGGGGAGAAACTTCCTGATGGCGGATGGATTGAAAACGAGAAGGCACCGATTTTTGAGCAACAGCAAAGAAATCTTATTTCGCAAACTGAGTGGTTAGGATCTGAAATGCATGAAATTTGTGGCTTTGGAAAGGGAAGTGGATAAGCACCTGAAGAGGAGAAAAACTACAGGGCAAGACGATACCATGTCAAGCGCTCCGATAAACTTTTAATGGATGGAATGAGATGGATGATACTTTGAACTCTTCTTCTGGAATGTTATACTAACTCTCAGATCTAACCTTTACACACTGAACAGCTTGATCTTGCTTTTTCTTCAAAACAAATATCTGCTGTAACAGAGTGTTGTGGAGTGGGTAGGCTAGCTGGAAGGTGATTGTGTTGGCACTGAGCATTCTGTGCTGAAGTTGGTATGTATTATAAAAGAAACACAATAGAAATTGCTGGAGAAACTCAGCAGGTCTGGCAGCATCTGTGGAGAGAAGACATTGTTCAAAACTAGAAGTAGCTTGGAAAAGGTGGTGGCATTTATCCTGATGGTAAGGTATTGGGGATGAAGGAGTAAGTGGACAGGCGGAGATGGAGCCCAGAGGGAGAGCTTTCATCACTTCTGTCTTCCTCCATGTCCTCCCAACCCCAATCATCATCAGCATAAATATGTTTTCCAAACTGCTTCTAGTTCCGAAGAAGGGTAACTGGACTCGAAACATGAACTCTGTCTTCTCTCCAAGATGCTGCCAGATCTGCGTTTCACCAGCAATTTCTGGTTTTGTTTGTTTCAGATCTCCAGCATCCACAGTTCTTTGTTTTATTTTGGTATTTATTATTGTGAACACCCAGTTATAGCTGAGTGGGCAGGCATTAATGGAGGATTACTCCTAACTCAAATCATAAATGAGGCCCAAGTGAAAGATCAACATCCTTTTCAACTGTCTACAGCAATAATTATTCGATCACCTTTATCTAATCTGTTTTCAGTAGCTGCTATTCGACTGAAGGTTAGTGGAATGTGGTGTATGCAGTACAGAAAATTGGAAATTATTTCACCTCCAGAGCTTGGCCTGAAATTAGCTGCAACAGAGATAATGAAGATCTTGTGCACCTCTGCTGGAGAGCCAAAGTTTGAGGAGTTGAATCTGCTGACTGAAGGGTACAAATGCTTAAAACGGAGCCCCATCATGTTGCACCAATGTTTTATGTAATTTGTCCCCATCGCTGGGGTTGGGGAGCTCAGAGTGTGTGGTAAGCAGGATCGTTGTATTTCCCTTCCCTCCGATCTTAGTTAGTGATTCTATAAGGCTGATTCTTCAATTGTTTTCAGGTTTCCATGCTGTGGCAGAGCTTATCCATGTGATGTGTGCCATGACAGTGACCAAGACCATGTGATGGAGCTGGCCAATCGAATGATTTGTGGGTACTGTGCGAAGGAGCAGGTGAGCCTGGCTGTCTGACAGTATCCCATTTACCCAACAAAACTATAACAGATTCACTGTTTAATTCATTCCTAGGATGAGGCAAGGCCTGTGTTTATCCCCATTCCTGATTTCTCCGATGAAAGCAATGGTCAGCCAAAGCCTTTGAATACAGTGGTGTGGCTCACTTTGTCATTTAAGAGGGTAGTTAAGAGTGAACCACACTTGTGACTTACTTTCCAGTCAGCTCTTCTCACAAACGCACAGCATGTTGCACAGTCTCATTCTCAACGCGCATATGGAGAAAGGTCTTTTCTAATTCCTGCATTTTAAAAACCCCTTACATGGGTTTGAGAGAGCAGCTGGTTTTTTACTTAGAAATAGTTCAGGTCACAAGAAATGGTTTGAGTTTATTTTTATTCATTCATGTGTCGCTGGCTGGACCAGCATTTAATGCAGGTAGCCCTTGAGAAGGTGGTGGTGAGCTGCCTTCTTGAAGTGCTACAGTCCATGTGCTGCGGGTTGACCACAATGCCCTTAAGGAGGGAATTCCAGGAGTTTGACCTACCAACAGTGAAGGAACTGCGATATATTTCAAAGTCAGGATGGTGAGTGCCTTGGAGGGGAACTTGGAGGTGGTGGTGTTCCCATATATCCCTTGTCCTTCTGGTTGGAAGTGGTCGTGGGTTTGGAAGGTGTTGTCTTTGATGGATCTTTAGTGAATTTCTGTAGTGCATCCTGTAGATAGTACACATTGATGGTGGAGAGAGTGGATTCTTTAAATTTTTTTAAGGCAGTAGTAAGTAGATTCTTGATTACCAAAAGGATGAAAGATTATTAGGGATATGCACAAATGTAGAGTTGAGGTTAAAATTAGATCAGCTGCAATCCTAATGAATGGTGGAGCAGGCCTGAAGGACGAGTGGCTTACTCTTCTCTGATGTCTGTCTGTTTGCATATTACATTAATTTACTCAGTTATTACTATATTTTACAGAACATCATCTAATTACTACTTAAGGTGTTAGCCTGAATTTTGCTTTCTCCACCCTATTTGAAAGTATTAAGATTTTTGCTGTCCTTGGCCTTCTAGATGGTAGTGGTCATCAGTTTAGATGATGCTCTGGAAGGAGCCTTGCTCTAAGGGCTAGTTTTAGTTATAAAGTTCTCCTTTGCCCTCTCAGTACAAGTCAGACCTTTTGAAGTTCTTTTTTAACTCATTCATGGGATGTGAGCATTGCTGGCTGGGTCAGCATTTATTGCCCAGAGGACAGTTAAGAGTCAACCACACTGCTGTGGGTCTGAAGTAACACGTAGGCTCAACTGGCTAAGAACAGCAGATTTCCTTCCCTAAAGGACATTACTGAAGCAATGGGATTTGATGAGAATCTTGATGGCTTGTCATCTAAGGAGCGGTTGAGGACTCTGAGTCTGAGTCTCGATGGAGTTTAGAAGGATGTGGGGGAATGTGATTGATTGAAACTGGCAGAATACTGAGGTAGCATGGACATGGCAAAGATGTATCCACCAGTAGGAGAGACTAGGACATGAGTGAAGGGATAACTCTTCAGAACTGAGATGAAGGATTTCTTCAACCAGAGGGTGGTAAATCTGTGCAATTCATTCCGTAAAAGGCTGTGGAGGCCAAGTCATTGAGTGTATTTAAGAGACCGAGGTTATTGATTAGTAAGGGGATCGAGGGATACGGGGAGTAGGCTGGAGAATGGGGTTGAGAAACATATCAGCCATGACTGAATGATGGAGAACATTCAATGGGCTGAATGGCCTAATTCTGCTGCTGCTGTGGTCTAATCGGCAATGGTTATATGTTCATCATAGAGATGGCTCTTTATTCCATGTTTTCTTTATTGAATTAAAATTTCACCATCTGCCACAGTGCAATTCAAATCCAAGCCCCTAAACATTAACCTGGGGTTCTGGATTACCAGTCCTGTGACATTACCATGACACCAATGCTACTATGAAGCAGAACTGTGGAATTTAACCCTAAATTCTCCGTAACAAGCTGGCCAGCATTTCTTGCCCATCCCTAGTCGCCCTTGAGAAGATGGTGGTGAGCTGCCTTCTTGAGCCGCTGCATTCCTCCTGCTGTGGGTTGACCCACAATGCTATTAGGAAGGGAATTCCAGGATTTTGACCCAGTGACAGTGAAGGAACGGCAATATTTTTCCAAGTCAGGATGGTGAGTGACTTGGAGTGGAACTTGCAGGCGGTGGTGTTCCCATATATCTGCTGCCCTTGCCCTTCTGATGGGAGTGGTCGTGGGTTTGAAGGTGCTGTCTGAGGATCTTTGGTGAATTTCTGCAGTGCATCTTGTAGATGGTACACACTGCTGCTACTGAGCGTCGGTGGTGGAGGGTGTGGATGCTTGTGGATGTGGTGCCAATCAAGTGGGCTACTTTGCCCTGGATAGTGTCAAACTTCTTACGTGTTGGGGCTGCATTCATCCAGGCAAGTGGGGAGTATTCTATAACACTGCTGACTTGTGCCTTGTAGATGGTGGACAGGCTTTGGGGAGTCAGGAGATTAGTTACTCACGCAGTATTCCCAGCGTCTGGCCTGCTCTTGTAGCCACTCTATTAATATGGTGAGTCCAGTTGAGTTTCTGGTCAATGGTAACCCCCAGGATGTTGATAGTGCGGGATGTCAGCAGCTCCTGAAAGCTGGTTGCTGGCCACTGTCATGGTGAGTGATTTAGTGTTGGCTGTGCCTCATTGGAAGAGGAGATCAGTAGTAGATCACTCGATTACTTAAGCCTGCTCTGCCATTGCACTTCCTGCTGAATCACAAGGATGTCAGTTTTAGTTCCACCACACAGGCTCAAGTACACACACTTAGCTAACATTCCACTGTGGTACTGAGAGTGTGCTGCGCTGTTAGGAAGTCATCTTTACTTTAGTCAGAGATATCATCTAACCCAATTCAAAGAAGTGTCCTAGCAGCAGATTTATCTGTCAGCCAGCATCACTGAAGCAGCTGATGTTAGAGAGAGGTTGCTGTGTGCAAATTGGCTGCTGCAGTTTGGTACCAAGGAGGTCATTACTACAATGACTTGGCTTCACGCTTGGCTGTAACATATTTGGTAGGAGGGGTGGAAGGGGGGAATCCAGGTTATAAACATGAGCTTTTTAACTCCACAGCAACTAAATGAATTTTGTGATTTGTTTCTCCTGGATTACATTGACCACTTTGACACTGTATTTTGTTTGGTGTTAATATTCCCCCTGAGGTTGTCTGTAAATGAGTGTAAATGATAACTGTGACACTGAGTGATTGGGTTTGTCTGGAGTGTGAAAGGTGCCCTGTCTAGCATCAGGTTAATTTCAGACTCCCTCCTTCCAGCCGTACTGCAACGGGAAGCCCTGCATTTCCTGCAGAGCCATGATGACGAGAGGCTTCCACACCAGTCACTGGGAGGGAGGCCAAGGCTGTCGCAACAGAATCAAGATGAGTCAGTAAGTGTCCTTTCGCTAATCTCCTCTGCGTCAAGTCTGTTTCCTTCACCTCTATCCTCCTTCCCTCCTGCTGTCTCATCCCCAGCAGCTCCCCGCCACCCCCACCGACTCCTCTGCACTCCCTCTCCCCTCTCCTAAACTCAGATTTTCTTCCCTTAGTGGCATTCAGTGGGAATATTACTTGTGAATTTCCGTAATGAACCTGCTGAGAACTGGAACTGACCTTGTGTGTGGGCAGGACATGGGCACACTGTGGACAGGGCCTGGCAAACCAGGCACTGGGGATGTTGGTTGTGCTATGTTTGTTGTAAAGGGAATGTCTTGGGTTGTTGGCTACTCCAGCTGTGATTCCCTCTTGAGAAGGAATTCAGGAGGGTGAGCCAAATGCTCCTCTTAATGTGTCCTCCAATTGGATCATTGGAGTGTGATTATTTTTTATTAAATCCGAGTGTGATTTTTTTTTTTAAATTAAATCCATTGTTGTTGGGCTGTGGGTATGACTGGCAGTTAATGTCCAACCTGTATTTTCCTGTGACCCTGGTGATGGCCTTCCTGATTGTAACAGTTTTCTGAATCGCTGCAGTTAGCAGCCAGCCATAAAGGAGCAGGAGTTGGACTCATTCGCAAGCCAAACAGAGAAAGTATAGTTCCCTAAATGTTGAACCATTTAATACCATATTTCGTTTGGTAATTTGTTTCAGGATAAGGTGCTTAAAGGGTGAAGAAAATCTTTAGAAAGTGGTATCATCAAGATGATTAAAAACACCCTATTTATTTGAAGCTGCTTCTGGTTTTACATTCACAATTGAAAAGTGAAAGACTGTGGTGTGGTCGAGTGAACAGCTTTGTGTACACAGCTTATTAACTGTGCACAACGTCACATGTTGATCAGACGGTTTGATGTGTTTTATTTTTATCCCGCATTCATTCTCTGTGTTCTTTTCACAGCAAAGACAAACAGAAATATTCAAACTCCATGAAAACGGTGTCTCGCCGATCCCAGCGTCAGTATCAGAAGTGATCAGTGTGGCCCCTGACTAGGGATCTCTCACTTGGACTGTGGCCTTAGTAATAACTCCATGAGTAGGTGTGGTGTGCGCGCGTGGTTGTTCCCGTTTTTTTTTATTTCCAGTTGTTTCCCCCTCCACTGAGGTGGTGAAAGGATAAATGCTTTGTTCAAATTTTAAAGTAAGGAGCTGATCTTGGGGAGTAGGGGTGCAGAGCAGCCCCATAAACGAGGAATGAGACAGCTTCTAGCTTGATCTGTAGAATTTGCAGTAGCACCACCCCCCACCCCCCCCTCCGCCATCCTCGCTGCTGCCACCACCTGTAGATAACTATGGATGAGAAACACAGTATGGCAGGAGGTCATTGTTTACAGCTCCGCTTTGAGCCCAGCATTTAGCAGCACTTCAGCCACCAAATCGGGAAGGAAGAAGTTCCAGATTTATCGATGACTTTCCTGCCAGCTTGGCTGCGTTTAGCTGACAGTGCTGAAACCATGTGTGCACTAAGGTGCATGGTTCAGATGTGACACACAGAATGCCAGGCCTAACCTGGCACGGAGGCTCCCTCTTTTCACTGGTCTAGGAGACAGTGCAGATAGTTCTGTCTGTAACCTTAAACTGGGTGTAGAAATTTTGAGTAAGGCATTCTAGGACAGCCCAGGATAGACCCCCTGCACAGTCTCTCTGAAAACGGATAGTGTCTCAAATCAAGGTCCAGCCTTCTTTTCATGATTGGAGCTTGGAGACGTGTACAATGGGAAGTTGTTCTAATTTTGGTTTTTGAATGTTACAGGCTATCACTGTGGTGATTTAATTTGGCCGTTTTATAAAATGCAGTCACATCTCATTCTATGCAATAAGACGAACAATAAGCAAAGAAGCCCTCCTGGGCCTGGAAATGATGACAGCAGGGAAGATTAGAATCCCCCCTCACGTGGCTAAGCCCAGGCATTTGACTAGGTTTATGAGCAGTAGGCACTACTGTGGAACTGCGCAAATAATATTGGCTGATTTTTGTCTGTTCCTGTCTCAAAGAGCTTGACAGGGAGCAAGACACTGTTTACAAATAACCGACTGGCAGCTCATTGGAAGCTGGAGGAGGCCATTTCAGCCCCTGAGGTGGCTCAGCTCTTCAATCCAACAAAGCCTGATCCTATTCCTTAAAATCCTTAGTTGACAAAATTCTCTGAACTGAGCCATAAAAGCTCCAGGATCAGTGAGCTCTGAGTTTGGATAATGAGAATGTGCCAGATATTGGTTTTATTGAGGCAATACTGTCAAGCTCAATTCCTGCTTCTAATCACTGTGTGCACATGCATACCTTCCAGCAGATGGCAGCAGTTCACCCTTTGCTAGTCTCCTCAGCACCAGCTTAGAGTGTAAACTTCACTGTTTCCAAACGCTGAGTGCCACAGTTACCCAGCAGGGAAACACTGACTCCAGGACCTTCGAGATCACTTTACATAGTTTGTAGAAATTTAGGACAGTAAACTGAATTCACCAGGGTGTTATTTGTGGAGCGCAGCGGTTAGTTCTTTTGATTTTGGTCCTTTCATCCATTCAGTTGCGGATCCATTTCCACAAATAATCTCTGACAGTTGCCACCACTGAGTGTTCTCTTATATGCAAATTAGAACACATTTAAATCCTGATGTGAAAACCCAAAATTGCCCGTAATGAGAATTTTGGATAACAAAATCGCAGTCACCCTTGTCCCGGTCTCGATTTTATCCCGAGGTTAGAGCCTCGTGCAGACTGTCTCATCCACCTCCTTGTCCTCACATCCTGTGTTCAGGTTCACTACTGAGAAAGTAAGAACCAACTGACAGTCCACTATTGAAAGCATCACCAGCAAACTAACCCGGTTCTAACTGATACGTGCACATAGATGGGGGAACGGGGTAAGAAGTTTAACTTACTCTTCTCCTTCAGCCCAGAGTGATGAGCTCTGTTGTTACTATTCTGTTGTCCAGCCAGAAGGGGCTGCAGGTTGAACGTCCTTCCTGTGTAGATAGATTCTGGCTGCACATCTGTGTCTGAGTTAGCTCCCCTGTGCCAGTCTTTTACATGAATTAAGAACAGAAAGTGCGAGAAACCCTCAGCAGGTCTGGCTGGCTGCATTGGTGGAGAGAGTTACCGGAGTTTCAGGTTGGTGACCTTGTCAGAACCATTGACCTGAAATGCTAACTCTGTTCCCCTCTCCAAAGAGGCAGCCTGGCCTGCTCAGCATTTCCAGCATCTGTTTTTATTTCAGATTTTCAACATTGTCATCTTGTGTTTATATGTGTGTGCGTGTGTCCTTCTTTGAGTCTTTTCCTCCTGTCTCTCATTTCCAGTTTAAAAATACTTTGGACATACTCCTTTTCTCCCATATTTGAGCTGCTATTCATTTCTTGTTTCTTTATCGTGTGCTTGTGCCTCTCTTCATATTTTCTACTCCCCAACCCAGCAGCCATTCACCCGCTGGACTGCCAGGTTTGTGTATCACCTGAATGTGTTCAGGGATAGGGAGAGGGGAGGAATCAAAAGGAAGCTATTTCTCTGGTTAAACCAAAAGCTGAGCCTGAAATACATCAGCCACCACGTGTGTGTTCCAGTGCCAGTCTAAAGAAGAAACCTACAGATCTCCATTCGCCGCATCTCAATGGTTTTAGCCACGATTGGTTGTAACCTGAGTTACCTGGCTCTATCGGGGTTTAACCCCGTGCACTCCCTAATTCTGATGTGATTTTTCCATATTAAGGAATGACTGAATGTTCCTTTTCTAATGAGTGCCTTTTGTTTCTCAATTCTGTCACCTCGACCAGTTGCTACCCACTGCCTGCATCCTCTAAAAGGAGCAATCTGCAAATGATCCTACAACCCCACCTTGACCCCTGGCCGCAGAGAGTGCTGAGCCATTGACATGATTCATACTTCTCCAGTCAGGTCCACAGGGCAGCTTCTCATCAAATCCTACGGCACTTTGAAGGCAGAGAAGTTTGTTTGTGCAGTAATGTCTCTCAGGGCAATGTTGTTTGGCCAGGAATGCAGGCAGTACCGGGCAGGCTTTCAGACCATCTTGTAGTACAATATCTCTCATACTCTTTGAAGTTTCTGATTTGCACTACCAATTGGTGAGGTTCCCATCCAACATAGGGAAGCTGGTTAAACCCCCACTAAAGTTTAAATCTATTTCCTTAGGTGGAGGCACGTTAGCCCAATGCATGTTGTTGCTATGGCTAAACTAATAGTATTTTTTGGGAGCAGTAATAGGATTCAATCGAATCATATTTCTGATTTATTGTGCAAAATTGCCACTCAAAAGACTTAGTGACAAACACTGGCAAGATATTTTAAAATAGGAAAAGAACTCATTTGCATGTATGTAGAGTTGATGGTATTTTAAAATAAACTTTAGTTTTTGTCAGTTTTGAGATGTTTGGTGTTTTGCTGTTGATCAGATTGCGATTATAATGCCAGTGCACATTAGGCCTCTTCTGAAAATCCATGATGGATACAATGAATTTGTGATAAACTAATCACTAAAACTGCCTTCCAAATATATTTTATCAGGCCACTGTCAACTGGTGAAAATCACTGACCACCATCAGGCGTGACTACAGCACCTCCTAGCCAAATGCATTGATTTCAGGAGAAAATGTGAGTGCAGTCTCACGAGAAAAGAATACACTTCACATTTATCTAGTTAATGAATACTGCAATTCTGCATTTTGCAGAAATGAGAAATCTTAGAAACGTACTCCCACAGTGCTGCCTTTACCCATGATGCCTTTATCTATTTCTTAAATATTTTTGGTGACTTGGCCTCCAGCCTCCTATGAACCTGGATAGGCTGTAGAAGTCAGGCTACTCTCCTTGGAGAAGAGGATTTGATTGGTTTTCAAAATCATGAGAGAGGTAGGGAGCGGCTGTTTCCCAGTGGTGGAAGGATGAAGAGCCAGAGGACACAGATTTGAGGGAACTGGCAAAAGAACCAATGGTGCCATGTATTAAATCTTTGTACTCAGCCAGTAGTTTGGGTCTGAGTGTGTGCTTTTTTAAAAAAAAAAAAATTGGATTATCTGAAGAAATATTCACCGGGTATGGGCCAGAGGAAGGTTAGCAGCACTAGATGAATTCCTCTTGTGGACAGATAGCACAGAGGATGGGCTGAACAATAATCATCTGTATTGTGGAGTGCTCAGACATGATTTCACAACGCACAGTCCCCCCCCATATTGTGAAAGTTGAAGTGCTTGTTGGGATGGTCTCCATTTGGAATGAGAGCAACACATGCCCAAGGGAGGAAAGCAAATCCACTCTCATTGCTTTGCATTAGATCCAATAACCTCTGCAGAGGACAGACTTGATCAAGACAAATTACTTCATAGCAACAAGCCACTTTGTTACAAGTTTTAATTTGTGGCTTAATTTGTCAAGAGGTATGCCAGGTATTTTTCTGTTGTTCATGGGCAATTTGGAGACAATAGCTGTCCAACGGATATGGCCATCACTGGCTACACTCCATGTGCTCACAGTGTTCTCAGGAAGGGAATTGCAGGATTTTCACCTACCAACAGTGAAGGAATGACAGCCAGGCAAGCGGAGAGTATTCCATCACACTCCTGGTAGATGGTTATCAAACTTTAGAGGATCAGGAGATTGTTGACATCTTGTAATTAAAATGAGACATGGCTAGATCCACCCAAAGTGGCTTAAATGACTGTTGAAATATGCAAGTATTCCAGTGCTTTTTGCAAAGTCCTTCAGTGCCACTGAGCAATTAATGAAAGTTTGGAATGCATTGGCTGATTCAGTTGGGTCTTCAAAGGAGAACCGGGCAAATACTCAAAGGAGAAGAAATAATATCTGGGAATAAAGTGGCATTAACTGGATTGTTATTTGAAACAGTCAGTGTGAATGCAGTGAGCTGAAAAGTCTCCCTAACGACAAATGCAAAATATTGCAGATCCCAGAAAGCTGAACATGAACAAAAATAAACTGGTAACAATCAACGTGTCAGGATAGAACTAGTGTCATCAGAAGCTCAAGTGTCTTCGAACTGTAAAGTTAACTGGACGATAATGTTAAGAATTCTGAAGTTCTAGTAACAGACAGAATATTTCATAAATGGTAGGAGTGCTAAATATGGGTTCCCCAAAGTTCCCTTGTCCATGAGTTACTAAAAGCTTCCTTACAGGTGTACGAGATGATGAGAGGCATAGATAGAGTGGATAGCCAGAGACTTTCTCCCAGGCTGGAAATGACTATTATGAGGGGGGCATAATTTTAAGGTGATGGGAGGGAGGTATAGGAGAGATGTCAGAGGTAGGTTCTTTACACAGAGAGTGGTGGGTGCATGGAATGCGCTGCCGGCAGTGGTAGTGGAGTCAGATACATTAGGGACATTTAAGCGACTATTGGATAGGCACATGGAGGATAGCAAAATGTAGAGTATGCAGGGTAGTTTGATCTTAGAGTAGGAAAATAGATCAGCACAACATTGTAGGCCAAAGGGCTTGTACTATTCTATGTTCTAAACAGTACGATGGCATTGATTTCATGCTATACTTGCCAGAGAGGGAGTGCAGTGGGGGTTTCCAGATTAAGCTCTGGAATTGTTTTATGAGGAGAGATCAAGTTTGAATTGACGGACTGTGCCTGTATTTCCGTTTCAAAGAACGAGACAATCTTTCAAAACTGACGAGTGGATGTGTCTTAGAATATTACCCCAACTCGTGACTCTAGAATTAGGGAACATAAATGCCCCGAGAATAAGACAGAGATCAAGATGAAATTTGCTGCCGAGATGGCGGTGAATCTTTGGAAATTTCCTATCCAAGCGCTGTGGAAGCTCAATCATTGAGCAGGTTCAGGACAGGAAATCAACAGGTTTCTGGAAACTGACTAAGGGATATGAAGATAATTACATTTGATGTAGAAGATCAGCATTAATCTCATTGAATGGTAGAACGCACTTTATGGAATGAATGATCTACCCCGATCCTATGCAGTCTGACCTTTTTTATTACAGAGCAAACGGTTTCCTACGGTGTTCTGTTCTCAGATTCTGCAAAGTATTATAGCAGAGGGGATGGCGTAGCAGCATTGTTGCTAGACTATTAATCCTGAGATTTAGGTAATGCTCCAGGGACTGGATTCAAATTTCACCATAGCAGCTGGTGGAATTTGAATTCAGTAGAAATCTGGAATTAAAGGGCTATTGTGCAACTTTAGTCAATTATTGGATGGACATTGAGTCAAACAAATAATAGTGCTTGCAAAAAGCTTTGAAAAAAGGCAGGTTTCAAGGGGAGTTCCTCGAAGGACTGAAGAATCTGAGAGTATGTGGTTGAGCTTGTCAGAAGTGCTGACATGGATAGTGAAACAAATTGAACATAGGGTGGGGGAATAACCTGGAGCTTAAAACAGGAGGAGGTCACGCCACATAGGAACATAAATTTTAATATTGAGGTGAGTTTGTACCGGGAGCCATTGGAACAAGGGTGAATGGGAATTACTATGCCCTAAAAAGTGGCAGCAGAGTTTTGAACAAACTGAAGCTTATGTAAGGAAACAGGTGCAAGGTCAGATTTTAACACACACTGGGAAAGCCAAGCAAGACTGGGGCCCACAAAGTCACAGTGGATGGCAGCAGTTGTCACCAAGGTTCAACTGATGAGGGGGGTGGGTCAGCTCAGCACAGGATCAGATCGAGTTTCCAAGGTTGTGACCAATCATGTTAAACCTGAACCATGCAGCTGATAGGTTCAGCATCTATTTAATGACCCTGAGTAAAGCCCAGCTCATTGCTGATTGGATGATGAATGGAAAAACATCTGAGCACAGACAGCAGAGGGTATGCTGAGGGGTAGCACATAGTTGGAAAAGAACAGAATTGTTCTAAGGAGAACAAGATTGGAAAGCTTTGACAAGATGTCTTTTTCAGCAATATGTATGTTCTGCACTACCAAATGACTAGATAGTTATTTGAGGGGGATGGGAGAGAAGCCATTACTGGACATGTTGTGGGGCTAGGTTGGGAAATGAAAGCAATTAGAACCAAGAGAGGGTATTTCCACTAAACAGAAGAGATTAAGTACGTTGAATGAGGATGGTATAGTTGAGAGAGTTGGACACAGCGCAGTCAGAGGGTGTGATGCATAACTTTGATTAAGCCTGTTAAGGTCCATTGGGAAATTTCAAGATCTGATTGGAGAGATTCATACTTAATTCACACATTTTGGTGAGGTCAGAAAACAGTCATCATTTGAAATGTGGGGTTTGTTTACACAGTATGGGTGCTAATGGGGATTTTGAAATGGTGAAAGTCATTTGCAAAGTCACAAAGGAGAAGGAAGTGAGATTTGCTTGGTTGTCAGAATAGGACTTCAGACCTGAAAGTGGATTTCACAGATTTCAAAGAATCCAGGGTTGAGACTTGTGCACGTCTGCCTGATGACGACATTTGGCATGGAGGGGGAATTGAGTCTGTGATTAATTAAATGGAACTGGAGAATGCTCCTCAACAGTGCAACTTTTGAAATCTGCACAAAGGTTTAATGCATATTTTATTTACCCTACTGTCGCTCTGAGACAAATAAGATACCACAGCAACGACTGGAACCAAACTGCGCCTCAAAGCCTGAATCTTCGATATGATCTTGCAAAATGAAGTTTTTAGGACCTAAATGGTTTTATAATAAGTAGTTTCCCACCCACACAAGCTGCAATAAAGAAACTCAACAGAAGGATTGACTGTTTTAGTTGAACCAAGAAAGAATCTGCAGTAAACGGCTCTAAAAATTCCGGAATTATCCAGTCAGCAAATGCATGAATTAAGCTTTTCAATATCTGTGCCAACAATTTATTTTACAGTGCATTAATCAAAAGACTGAAAGGGGTAAGAACAGAATTGAGCCATTCGCCCATCAAGCTTGTCCTGCCATTCAATGAGCTCATGACTGATTTCAATCTCCAGCTCCGCTTTCCTGCCCTATTCCCATAACCCTTATTGCCTTAGATTAAAAATCTGTTTATCTTAGCCTTGAACATAGTTAACAGCCTCAAAACCCTCTGCAGCAAAGAATTCCACAGACTCACTACTTAGAGAAAAAAAACTCTTCCTCATTTCTGTCTTAAATGGACGACCCTTTACTCTAAGATTGTGCCATCTAGTCCTCACCTCTCCCACAAGGAGAAACCACCTTTCCACATCTAGCCCTTTTGAGTTCACTAAGAATCTTGTATGTTTCAGTAAGGTCACCTATCATTCTTCTAAACTCCAATGAATACATACCTAACCTCTCCTCAAAAAAAAAATCCTTCCATACCCAGCAGCAAACTAGTGAACTATCTCTGGACTGCTTCTAATGCCAATGTTTCTTTCCTTAGGTAAGAGTGCAAAACTATTCACAATATTCCAACTGTGGTCTGATTTGTACCTTCTATACTTTTAGCAAAACCTCCCCATTTTAGACTCCATCCCTTTTAAAAATAAAGACGGACAGTCCATTTGCCTTCCTAATTACCTGCTGAATGGCATTCTTGCTGCGGATTGACACTCAAATATGGCACTTGAACATTTATGGTCCCTGGGTAGTGTTTGAAATTATAAACTTTGAAAGTTGTTAAATGGAGCAATTTTCTGTTAGTTCTAATGTAACAAAAGTTTGTATCCTTTTTAAAACCAGAATTGCATCATAAGTAGTGTTGGAATGTTAGACGTCCTGTATTATTTAGCGGGATGTATTTGCTTTAGAAGCAGTTCAGAGAAACGTGGCGCAACTGGGATGAAGGGGTTTGTTTTATGACGAAAGGTTGGACCTATATGATTTGAAATTTAGGTGATTGAGAGGCGGTCTTATTAATCTGTATAGGATTCAGAAGGGTGATAGATCGATGCTGAGAGGATATTTCCTGTTATTAGAAATCTAGGCGGTGAAAGGCAGAGATTGAAGAGGAGGGGTGTCCCATTTAAGATTAAGTTGAGGATTTTTTTTCTCCCAGAGGGTCATTAGTGTTTGGAATTCCCTCCTCCAGTAAATGGAGGCCATGCGATTGAACATATTCAAGGTTGAGTTGGACAAGATTATTGATTGACAAGAGAGTCAGAGGTTATGGGGGACAGACAAGAAAATGAGATTAAAGGCACAATCAAAACAGCCATGACTGGTGACTGATGCATCAAGATCACAGGGCCAATGACCTACTCCTGCTCCTTTCTCTTTTATTTGTACGCTCTTTTGATGCAGTGCCTGATTCATGGACAAAAATTGAATGTACATCACTGTCCTGATCAACAGCATCCACACCAGCAATTACCTAACAGGAAGCTCATAGGATCCAAGTCACTTTCAATGTTGTCTCCAGCACCAAGGCCCAGGTTTCATCCATGGGTCACATAAATGGCAGGACTTGGAGTTCCTGGAGATGTGTGTGGACCAGCAAGAATTGAGTCAGAAAGAGAGGGGAGCGGAAAAATTGTTGAGAGTATACACCAGTTATACATTTAATGGTGTGAGTGTGAGTGACCCTATATCACCAAGTCTTAAACCTATTGACTCAATATAACTTAAAATATACAATGCCTCATTTGAACCAGAAATTGGGTACTTTCTTTTACATCCATCAGAGTTGAATTGGATGACAAGGGGAAAATGGCATAGGTTAAGAAGGGAAAATTTATGAAACTGGTTTCCCATCACTGATTAGAGATGGTGCCAGACTTGGTGAAGATTATCTCAGGGCTGTAAGGCTGCGTCATTCAGACTGAGAGGGGACTGTGATTAGAAAAAGAACCCAATTTCCAAAGGGAGATAGATATACAGATCCATGCCAGAAATAGTGTTTCTCCAACCACCATTGGTTAATCATAAATGTCCAGCCCATATACAAAGTTATCAAAGGGGACTGCACTCAGGGATACAGTCATAGGGTGAAAGTATGATGATACATCTCCTCACTTAACAGAGGCAAAACGAGATGAAAATTCCTCAATTCCCAGCCAAAAACAACAATCCTACTTGATTGTCACAGAATGTGGGTTATTAACTGGCCACTATGGAATGGAAACTAATGCCTGTTCCTCAGGCATTGCCACATTACTCACCATTCTGCTGCAAATCCCCAACACTTCTCCACACCCCCAAACAGATGACTTGTCAGCCCCTAAGTCTTGTTGCGCCATTCCTACATTCGTTCGAATCTCCTCAGCCACTGTGCAGACTACCCAAGCTGTGTGCATGGGGGCAGCTGGACAAAGTGGAAGTCAATGCATCAACAGCTTAGAGGGACTGTTGGACATGGCTGATTTGCACTCCAACCTCATGGAGGCACCCTTTGTCTCATGCCCCTCAAGGCCTTGAGTTAATGGAGTTAATCCATCTCAGATTTAAAGTTAACGATTGACTTAACATCAATTGCAACTCATGGGAGACAGTTTCATTCTTGTCTGAAGACCTGGGTTTTCCTGGAAGGTCTTTTTATTTTATAGGCTATGACATCCCAGTCCAAGACCCCCCCAATCAGTGAAATTTGTTTGTCTGTCTACAGTTTCTGTTGATGTCTTAAGAAGTTTGGTCAAATCGTCTCTTGATCTTCTAAATTCAATGGAACACAACCATAATTTGTGTAATTTCTCTTTGCTCTTTGACCCTCCAAGTCTAAGTGTGATCCTAATCCCTCCAAGCAGGTGATGTCCAGAACTAAAACAGCATTATGGATGTAATTTTAAACTAGGAATTGATAACTCTATACAGAACCTATGGCTAAAAGAAACAAGCTGGTCAAAGCTTTTTATTTCTCACTCATCGAGATGTATTCAAGGACACCAAATTTGAAAGGGAACAACAATTTTTAGGGCTCTGAGGAAGGGTCACTCGACCTGAAATGTTAACTCTGATTTCTCTCCACAGATGATGCCAGATCTGTTGAGTTTTTCCAGATCTTTGTTTTTGTTTCTGATTTAAAGCATCCACAGTTCTTTTGGGTTTTAACAATTTGTATTGCCTGAGAAAAAGGGGGCTGATTAGTTAGCAAATGAATCCTGATAGATCAATGCATTGCTTTGGTGTGCGCACCACAAAACAATTGCTCTTAAATCTTTTGTTCAACTGAAAAAGGCACAACATCTACACACGTGCTTCCTATTTGCAGAGGTCAGGCTCCTGTCTCCACAAACCCCCATCCACCCAGTGAGTATAAATATACTTGAGCCTGACTGATAATTCTTAGCACACTCAGGATTGCCAAGCAAGTGATGCCTAATTACAGAATCACACCTGGTAGAGTGCAGTTAGTACAAACTCTAGCAGTCTAATATCAGTTGTTGGGGAGACTAACTGATCCCGAGTGAAAAGTCAGACTCCAGGAATGTAGCATAACCAAATTTCTAGAATTGGAGGGGGAGAATTGGTTACAGCATTTGCAGCATTAATAAGGTAAATTCAACAATATTAATTCATTTTTGGTGAACATTTAGTTAAGTTAACAGGGCACAATACTTGAAAGTAGCTCAAACATTTGGTTACTTTCTCAAACATTTTCTAAAATAAGGCTGTGGGAGTTTTTTTTATGCAATGCATTTAGCAGCTTTTCCTTCATATCATGGTGAATCAATGAACATGATTACTGATGGTCTCAATTAACTTAACCATGATTTTTTTGAACTTACTGCCAATGGATGCTTTAACTCTAACATTAAGGCATTCAAGGTGGCACCAGATTCAAAAGGTCTGCAAAAACAAGTTTAATTTCTGCAAAGCCTGCAGCATTATTAAGAAAGCCTATCCTGGTTCTTGGCCATCCATCATGAGGAAGGGATAAAGTGGACTTTGAGCATTAGATGGAGATTAGCTCTGTACCATATTCCATATCAAGAATTTACCAGCCCTGCAGTAGGAAATTGTTGAACACTTGGTAACAAATTAGAAGGTCCTGCATTTAGAACAAATACTTTGTACATGTAGATTAAAGTAAAAAGGGGACAGTATTGGTTCAGCTCAGATGATATAAACAGTGGCAGACAATAACGTTAAGTTACAAAGTGAACACAAGGAGGTAGAGAAAGATTGCGGCTGCCTCGGTACCTGCAGAAACTACAGCAAGTATTTGGTGCCATCAGCACAAGTTGTTGCAGGACAAAGGGCTGATGGATTTTATTGATCGTTCCAACACCGCTCTCCAGGTGCTATGGGATTACGTTCGGCATCACCACACAGCCACAGTGAGGTCTCCAGCCTTCCCTGCTCTTCTGGCTTTCTCTGGCTACCTTCTCTTCTGCACCCCCTTTGCTCTCATGGATCTCATTGGAGAGTGGTTGCCTCTGTTCTTCAAATACAAGATTCAGAAGAACCGGCCCAGTTTGCAGATGATGGGCCAATGCCTCCACCAGGCAGTCTTCAACCATCTGCTCTACGTTCTTCCTGCAGTTACCATCAATTGGTTTTGGCACCCACCTGCCCCTCTGCCAGTGAGGGCTCCAACGTGCGCCCAATTCCTGACTGGCGTGCTGAGCTGTCTGCTGGTGTTTGACTTCCAGTACTACTGCTGGCACCTGCTCCACCATAAAAGTCGCTGGTTGTACAAGAATGTCCATGCTATCCACCACGAATATATGGCACCTTTCTCGTGGGCAACCCAGTATCTTGGGGGTTGGGAGCTGCTGACTGTTGGGTTTTGGAGCAGCACCACTCCGCTGCTGTTCAAGTGTCACCCGTTAACTGCGTGGGCCTTCATGTTGCTGAGTGTCTGGATGTCTGTGGAAGACCACACTGGATACAACCTGCCCTGGAGCCTCCATAATGTCATGCCTTTGGGACTGTGTGGAGGAGCCCCAGCTCACGACCTGCACCATCAGAATCCAAACACCAACTTTGCCCCTTTCTTTACTCACCTGGACTGGGTGTTTGGGACTGCCAACAAAGATTAAAGATGGGAAGGCTCTTGTGGTGCATGGTAGTGTCCCAACTGCTCCAGAGGTCTGCCCTAACATGGCTGAATGGGTTGATTAAAAATATCTAGAGGGGAGAGCTTCAGAAAATGAGCACTTGCTTTGTGCCTGGCATGAATCACTCCTGTAGATTACTGTCCCAAAAAAGGGCACTTAATCTCATCTCTTGCAGGGAACTGTTGGAAAGTACAATTGTAAGATTATGTGCAGTGTTTCCACAGTTTCTTGATGTTACAGTGGGAATAGCAGCTATGCCCAGTTAGAGACCCACAGAAGATCCAACAAAGAATTGTCTTCAGTCCTTGTGTGAAGCTGATAATTAGACATCCAATAAAACTGTAGAAAATAGAAACTGGGGCACTTAGTTTGTTGTATTTGGTATTCTGCTAGTGTGGGAATGCTTGTAAATCGTTTTTCTATATTTAGTAAAAAAAAAATACAATGTCCTAGCAACCAAGGGATAGGAGGGAAAGAGTTTAATTTCTACCCTTCTTTTTCCCCCTATCTTGGGAAATGCATTTCTTCCATGTTAGGGCATTACAAAGGATGTTCAAATCATGTTCACAGGTAGGACTCAGTTTAAATGTCTGAACCACAGCATCATCAGTGCAGCCCTCCCTCAGCACTGCAATGCAAAGTCAGCCTAGACTGTCCCCAGAGTAGAGTTTGAACTCATGTCTTGAAATGAGGCCTTTATGGCTGAAGCTATGGTGGAAGAAACCTAACAGTGGCAAGTGAGGAACCAAGAACTGAGCCAATGTTGATATGTGACAGTGCACAAGAATTGTGTACACTGGATTCCAAAGGCACAGATGGGGACCAACGAGGTTCTTCCTATGGATTACCAGCACAGACACGATGGGCCAAATGGCCTAGCTCAATGCCACAACAATTCTGTGACTACAGCAGGATAAAGCAAAGACAGCACCGTTTGGAGGAAATCATTGCAAGGTCAGCAAGTAGGTACAGATGGGACAGGAATGTGAAATAAGCATAGGGCACTAAAATTTGCGGCGCAATCTTAAGGAAACAACAGGGAATCTCAGTGAATAAATGCAAAACAAGAAAGTGGAGACAAAACGCAGAAAGTTGTGCAGCTTGAAACAGGTTCTAGAGGTGATGGCCCAGAAAAGTACTGAATGCTGTGTGATTCTTGTGACATCTGTCTGAAATTTGTTGCTGGGGTTTCATACTCCTCCCCATCAATTTGTGAAGCTCTAAAGACCCAGAGAAGGTCCACAGATCAATGGAAGAAGCAAAATTAACATGCACTAATGAAATATTAGAGCCAATATAAAACACTAGCTCTGCTATAGGGGTGATCAGGAACATAAGAGAGTCATCTATAAGGAGGGATTACTTTGGGAGAGAGGTAGGAATTTTCATCTTGAGGAAATAGGAGTGGAATTCTATTATCTCAAAAGCTGATGAACATTAATGTCAATACCCACAACCTCCCCAGACAAGTAATATAAGTAAAGGCAAGGACGGAGAAAGGCTGTTTGGGCTCACACCATGATATATCACCCTTCCCACATTAGGGTAACATTTAGAAGCCTATGAGACCAGGGTGAGTGATTCCTGGTACTGACTTGTTTTCCACATTTCTATCTCAGAGTGATTTTGCGGTTAATATGGAAGAAGATTTTAGGGACGGGAGAAAGGAAGCGATTGTGAATAAGAAAAGGCTGAGAGTGGACAACATAAAATGAAAAAAAAGAGAAAAGTCATCACTAACTCAAATCCATCAATAAACTGCATTTTGCCTTCCCCAGATGCTTACAAGTTAACCTTATAATTTGCGTATTCAATTTGATCTGCCCACTGTCACCCCTCATATAAAATTGATTGAATTCCTTTTCTGAACTAACTACACGATCTGCACTCTATTTCAGCCGCATTTCTAAACTGAATGTACTCATGTATCACCAAGTTTACTGGTGTTTGCCCCCCAGGACCTACTGACATCTTTGGAACCATGGGTGCTCTTCAGGGTCAGCTGAGAGAGTCGCTCGTATCCAAGTGATGAATTGGAGTGACTTCTGAGCCAGCTGCGGTTTTGGTATCATAGCACTAGAGGATTCTCAAGGGTTGTTGACATATACTGTAGTCTCAGAGCTGGGAAATGCCTGACAGTCTGATAAAGAAACAAGTCCTACTGCTTTATCCTATACCATCACAACACCCTGCGCTAGTATTCTTCCAATAACCGCAAGATCGATGGCAATATGCTGTGCTAAACAATTCCCTCGCCAAATTGTAACTCCCGTGTTATTGCGTTTGGACGGCAGATCCAATGAACTTGTTCAATGAGTGAGGTGGAATGAGTCTTTTGTATGTGATATCAACCTGAGGCCCCCACCTGGCGGATTTGTAAGATTCCACGACTAGTTGAAGGGACGTCTGATCAATATCGATACCCAAAAACAACAATCGCTGTTTGCGGGATCTTGTGCACAAATCCCCATGCTCCTGGAAGTTATGTTCCAACTGAAACAAGACCAGACCACTGGGAGAAAAACCCGAAAAAAAACTGCAGATGCTGTAAGTCAAACAAAACCAGAAATGGCTGGAAAAGCTCAGCAGGTCTAGCAGCATCTGGGGAGAGAAATCAGAGTTAATATTTCAGGTCAAGTGACCCTTCTGAGGAAGATCAATGCTAGAACCAGTCCGTAATAATAAAGCATTAATCCAAGATCTAAAGCTAACCATTTACTAAGGAGTGTTTCAGTGCAACCAGCAAAGGTGAAAGGCAGTGACAATAAACAGAATGATTATTACAGAATGGGTTGTTACCAAACGAAAAACTTTTCAGACTAAATTAACTTTGGAGAGGCCATTAGTGGTGGGACTTGATGGGTTAAAGGAGATAATTATATTTGGGGTTGATAGAAAGTAAAGCACTTCATGCAGGGAGGATGTTCCCCATGGTGGGTGTGTCCAGAACCAAGGGTCACAGTCTGAGGATTCGGGGTAGACCATTTAGGACGGAGATGAGGAGACATTTCTTCACCCAAAGAGTGGTGAGCCGGTGGAATTGATTCCCACAGGAAGTAGTTGATGCCAAAACATTGAATGTATTCAAGAGGCAGCTGGATATAGCACATGGGCCGAATGGGATCAAAGATTATGGGGAGAAAGCAGGATTTGGTTATTGAGTTGGACAATCAGCCATGATCGTGATGAATGATGGAGCAGGCTCGAAGGGCCGAATGGCCTCCTCCTGCTCCTATCTTCTATGTTTGTGTGTTAAACAGGGTTCCTGTGATTTCCACCCAGATGAATGTCATAGTTTCAGTGAGACACACAAGAGTCATGGCTCAGCAGATGAAACAAGAAGTGCTCAAAGTGAAATCTAAGGACCTTTCAGCGCACTGTCGAGTCTGCAGCTTGATATTATTAGATTATCAACTTTAGATTTACAAACTGAATAAGAGCTGCTCAAAAATCTGTAAAGGCTATACATGCCTTTTATTTCTCATGCTGTGGTGTTGATTGCTAGAGGGAAAGTGAATTGGAATCCGCAGAGAGAGAAGACTGAAAACAGATCCTTGGACTACAATCTTTCAGAGATTCCAGAGCACCACCTACTTAGTAACACAGGAAGAAGGGGCCATTCAGTCCCTCCCTTGATTCTATTTCACAGGTTTCAGCAACTGCCTGAAGAAGGCATTGGCATAAGTTTGGGAAAAAGGCAGCTCCTGATTAATAGAATACATGTTCAGCCACCTTTTGGGAATACAGAACAATTTAATGAAAAATAATGATTAAAAGCTTAACCAAGCATAAAATGCTGATAGCGACTTGTACTAATTAGGTTAAGTGCAAGCCCTGTACATCACCACAAAATAAAAAGGTGCCGTAGAAAGAATGTCAGTTTTAATTGGAATTTTACAATGCAACATTTCTACAGTACAATGATAAGACTGTGCAATCCTGCAGTTTCTACTTCCAAACACACAGAAGACCCTATCCAAACTGATTAAAAGGGGGAAAGAAAACAAATACAAAGATATTGGGCTGGCAAAGCTGGGCCCAGTTGAGCACTGGCCTTCACTTTATATCACAGTACCAAACAAAGACAGTGTCAATTGACCATTATAAATTAAAATCAGAGAAAATGATTTTCCATCAGCTGTAGAACAACAAAAACTCTTGGATGCGAATCCCAGCTAAACAAACATCTCCATCACAAATACAACTCTAGAGATAGATGCAATAGGAGACTGATCAATGAATGTGTCCTTTTGCAAATGCCAATCCAGAAACACACTGTAAACGGGCTATGGATCCACACCAGATCTTTTTCTGGGAGGGGGTTGGAGGTTGGGGGGGCGGTGGAGATTACTGACAATGCTGAATGGGAAGCCACGTACAGAAATGCAATGCAGCACCAAATGTCATCAGGCAGAATTGTCACAAAAGCAAAATATTGTAGATGCTGGAAAAATAAGAAATAAAAATAAAAACAGAAACAGTCAGCAAGTCAGGCAGCTTCCATGGAAAAAGAACCAAGAATTAACATTTAACCTTCCATCAACAGAAATGTTTGCTCTGGGTGTCTGTCTCTCTCACTGCGTAGACACTTCCCAACCTGAATATTTCCAGCCTTTTCTGTTTTATGTAGAATTATTTCATCCACAGCTCAGTAATACTGAAAGGTCTATGTAGGTGCAACCTCCAACTTCTGGCAAGTATGGCAGATGCAAATAGAGCGCGGACTTGAAGGTCCTTCAATGTCACACTTCACTCAGCACTCCAGATAACTGACCAACTTTTGTGAGGATTGAATTTGGAGTGGGAGTGGGAAAGTGGAGTTGAGGAGGCTGCTCTTTATTTTCCCTTCCCCACTCATATATCCTACACAAAATCTGTGAAGCTGCCTCTGCTGAGCTTAGAAGCAACATTTCTAAAGTCCGCTCTGAGATACAAGGAGCAATGGGATTCTAACCTGCAAAGTCCTGATTCTTTCAGAAATGTCACCAGCCCTTGGCGGAGCAAAACAAAGGCTCCAAGTCATCCCCACAACCAGCTGTACTAAAAACTCTTGTACTTGATACATGCAACTTTATGTTGAACTTCTTACCCAAGTCCCACAGAATGAAGAATCTAAGTGTGCTTTATTGGAAGATCAACACAATGCATGAATGCTGTGAAGAGAAACACATTTATCTCACTGGCTTAGCTCCATGACCATGGTGTGGGTTTTTTAAAACTTTGAACAAGTGGAGAAATTCTCAAACTCTTTTGACATGGCATGGTGTGTTGGATTGCAACAGTAACAGGCCACCAGATGAAATGGTCCTCAAATGTCTGCTCTAAGAGGGCTACTAACACCTGTAGCATTACAATAAAGGCTGGCAACAGGCATAATGTACAGGCACCTGGCCCCAACTCTACATGAATTACAGTGTAATGCTATCTGTTTAGGACCTTGAGATTACTGGAAGTGGGGAAAATGCCACAAGGACTTTGAGTACTTCTTTGCAGTTACAAGTTGGAAGGGAAAGTGAATGGCTTGGATTCACTGTAGTAGGTATCCCTTCTCCTGTCCTCCAAACAAATCCCACATATAAATGATACATCTCTCAGGTGTGGTTATATTCTAGGATAGTGGATCAGTTGTTGGTGACAATTGGTGGGTAAGTAAAATTTCTTTGAAGTCTGTTCTTTAGATGTGCAGATATTTTCATTTTGAAATTGAACATCAAATTCTCACTTAGTTGCAAGTGAGGATGAGCATGCTGTATAACCAGCAAATCCTCCCAATATGCTAGAAACTGGCTCATAACCTACAGGGATTTAGAAACTTCTATTCTGTTACCAGTTTCAGGATTTTCTTCCCCTTGCCCACCATCTAAAAGCAACTTGTACACAAATTAAACACAAACCATATGATTTTTAAAAAAATTCAGAATCAATCTGTTTAACACAGCAATGTGTATCACTCACAGCACATGACCTCTGATTCCTAACCCAGTCTCTGTAGCTGCAACGTTATTGTACACTAACCAGCCAGCACCCCCTGTGAACGGTAACTCCACCTGTCAGGCAGCACATTGCATTCCTGTAGCTGAGCCCAGTTGTGCAACCATTACAATTTCAGCTAATACCAGGTGACACAACAGAACCTCAAGTGCTTCAAGGCTCAACTCCCCCCCCTCCCCATATCAAGACAGATTAATTTGACCCAGAAAGTTGACGAAAGATGGCTACCATGAGCTATGTTCTTAAAGCTCCACCCTCTTACTGCCTGGCCACCTTCCATGTTGAACCTTGATAGCAATTATAGGACCGTCTATCACCACTCTAAACTATGGTTTCAAGGTGATATTACAGCTCATTGTAAAGAATGAGCCTCAGAAGATAGCTTTCCAATTTATGATAAATCCCTTGCCAAGTCTTTGCTCAATAGGGACCAGCCGCAGGAGGCTGACAGGCATATTTATATTAAGATTCTTAAACATACAAGTTTTCAGTAGCAAGTAGTGCCTGAATTAAATTGTGCTTATGTCTAGATGATAATAGAACTCCAATTTAATTAACTTGCACTCTCCTAAATTTACTTCAGGTCAACTGTGGTGCTGAAAGTGAAGTGTAATGTGCTTGATGCTAAGATCCTGTATGAGCGTAACTCCACCACTCTGACCAGCATGACAAAGTGCTCAATTCAGTTGTGTTTTACTGTTGTTTGATAGACCCATGATAGCTTAATGAGGCTTTTAATTGGATGCAGAATTATTAATACACTTTTAATAATGAGAATTGTCCTCATATCACCAAACAGTTAAGTTTGGGTACATGACATTGGGTACAGCTATGGAGTGCTGCCCAATCTATGTGGAGCCAAACACCCTTTTCAAGTTCAGGCATCACTGGCTGATATCCAAAAAGCAAGTCAATTGAGAATGGAGATATTCATTTTTACCCTGAAGGCCAGTGAAGCTGCCCTTTCATCTCTTCAAGCTTGGTTCAAATCCAGTCTGGACTGATAGCCTGAAAGCCCAACATGAGCGAATGTAAACCCACTGAGTTTGGCACAAATTAGCTTTCCCATTTTGTGTGAACAAGGTGGGAAGGTGGTGGTGGTGTTGTGGCAGGGGGGGGGTTGCAGGGGATGGTTTAATGGCAGGAAACCTACTGTCAGCAAGCATTTTCTGAGACTGGGGGTAAAGCATCTCTGGCAAATGGCCTGGAGAGACAGTTTTTAACCACCCAAGTGGTACCCAACTGAAGAGACTCAGAGCTACTACTAGGGTCAGACATATGTGGGGGGGCGGGGGGTAGTGCTCCATTATTCCCCAGTGCTGGCACCCTGCACTTTAATGAGCACAAAAATACTTAAAGAAATATTGTGGTAATGGTCAATCACACTCACTTTAAAGCCAAAAAATTTTACTCTTTCTTCTCTCCCCCCCGCCCAACCAATGTTACATCTCAGCAGGACAACTGGATCTCAGTTAATGCACTGAATCAGGCACTCTGCAGAAATAGATTCTTCATAGGAAGGCGATTTGGGACAAAGTGAACACATCGTGCTGGCAGTGACTCCATAACTGCTTGGAGATGACAGGCCTCGAGGTGGAAGGTAGTTCTGGTGAAGTGGTGTCCAAATGGCAGGACACTGGACAGACCCATCCATCTGAGCTTGGCAAGAGGCAAAACAATCTATTGAAGACTGGTCTACATCTGTGATGCACTCTGGATTGGAGTGCTGAAACAAAGTTTAGAAAGGGAAATAAGTCAGTCCAGAATCATCAACACATCAAAAGGTCTTTCAAAAGAAAACAGGAGAAAGATCAAATTGGTGGTAAACTTGACGGAGTTTCCCAGAGTGTGCTATCATGGGACTGTCAACATAAAGGTTTGCTCCTTACTTGGGGCTGTCACGTCCAGTTAATTTAGAAAGAGAAATTTCCCCATCTCATACCATAATGCTTAATTGTTGACAGCATGTAAGCTTAGGCTGGTGCCAGGACTGCACAAACAAAACTATTTAATTCTCAATTTTTAAAAGAAAGTAGGAACAAAAGGTTACTTTGGCAAGAAAAAGGACAGACATATTTAACCATTCATTTTTTTTTTTTTTTTTTTTTTTTAAAAAGAATGATTACCACAGTTGTATTTTATACAAAAACAAAACTGTGGCCAACTCCTGAGAACCCTTCCCCATGGATACCGAACATGCAGCACAAACAGCAACAGTTGTAAAACAAGAAAACAAACCAAAACTGGTTGTTGTTTTTTGTAATTATTACAGTCTAGAATTTTGAGAATTTTATTTAGAAACTCATGCTCAGTAAGCAAATGTGTGCTATATTTACAAGACCACAAAGAGTAAAAACACAGCTTTTACTCACACGCTCAAGGACAGAGCAAAATGAATAAAAGTAAGTCTCATTGATAGTGAAACCTAATCCTCCAGTCACTTTGATTAAGTAAAAGCCTTCCTGCCTAAACAACCAGGTCAAACCCACTGGTTTGGATCCCTTTAGAAAAAGTTAGGACAGTACTTAGTGGAACCTGCTCCTGACAAAGCAGCCACTGAGAGAGAGAGAGAGAGAGAGAGAGAGAGGGAGAGAGAGAGGGAGAGAGAGAGAGAGAAAGAAAGAAAGAAAGAAAGACATGCACAGTCAGACAAACCTGCAATGTTGTCTCATTCAAATAATAAACCTGAAAGCTGCCTTGTAAGGAGATTCAGGGCAGGCTTCCTCCTGATGTGACTGGATATTATAGGCTCCACTGTATCGCTAAATCATGTTCAAGTATGAGTTCTGACAGCAGTGATCGAAGTTCCAAACAACCAGATATTAAGGAGTCTATAATGGGTTTGTACTTCAACAGTCAACAGCTACGTAACTGTCTTTTGTAAAAAAAAATCTATGTATTACCTCAGGTAGTTCCAAGCCTCTCCCAACAGGGCCATTCAGGAATGATTAACCCAAACAGGAAACATAACACTTAAGATGGAAAGAGCATTTGAGACAGACACCAAAAGGTTGTCCTCAAGGAACTGAGCTGACCTGTTCCTTTAGCGATAATTCCCAGCATTTGTTTTTTGTGTGGGTTTTCCATTTCATAACATGTTCCACGACTGGAATGTGATACTCATCTATATTTTGGAATGGTAGTTTATGAGTTGTTCTGCCTGTCAGAATATGTAACAATGTTTTCCTCCAGCAGTTCATCAGGAGACATTACATCTCTTTCCCAAGTCTATTTTCCAAACGTCGTAGATGTTCAGCTTCTTTGTACCTTTTAATAAAGGAACAACAGAAGGACCTTAAAGGAGCCTTTAAAAGCATTGAGTTTTTGGGAAGAACACAAATTATAATTTTCCACAAAACACATTTTAAAATAAAATTTGATTGAAATTCTTAAGACAGTAAGGAGTACTCCAAAATGACAAAATAAACTATAAGATCAATTGCAGCTAATGAAATGTACAATCGTTGTTTCTTTTTTCAATTCTTGCAGAGCTGCCTCCTGGAAAATATAACTTTTCTGACTGGGTTGCAAAGGAGATGAAAAGGCATCACATGCTCTGAGTTTACCAGCACTGCACTAACAAAGTGAGCCATGCTCTAGGGCTCTCAGTAAGGACAACAAAGCCACCACATCTGGCAGAGACACGCAAAGGACTGTGACCAATTTAAATTCAAGCACTGGCTTAGGAAGCACTCGCCAATCTCCCTTCATTACAAGCAGAGCCCTGTAAATGCGGTGTGTCAGTATAATGCTTTTTTTTGCTGTTGAGGTGGTGTCTTTCTCAGCTCCCCAAGTAAGTCTTTTCCCCTCTCTCTGCTGCTCTATCAACTACTTTGACAGAATACCTTAAGCTTTTTCAAAGTTACAGCACAGAATGGTTAAATATGAACAGAATTAATACAAGTGTGAGGTACATGCCAGAACACTCCAAGTACAGTCTACTTCTGGTCATTCAAGTTTGCACTTTGCTTGGAAAGAGTTTCAATTAACCGGTGGTTTGAATTAAGTAAGTCAAATAAAATTGCACAAGAGGCAATTGCATTATGTACAATTTGCATCAACATAATTCAAGTTACACAGTTTTGAATCAAGAGTAGATTGTACTTTGAGTAAACAGATCATCTGGAGTTATCCACACAAACAAGTCAACCTGAAAGCAGCAAGAGGATATCTGGATAAAGGACTGGATAAGTCAAATTGGAAAGGTCTACACAGACTGTTTTGAGATCTGGGTTTCCATATTCTAATTGGTTAATATTCAGTGCAATCCACTGGCTGCTAATAGCTCCTCAGGTCTTGGAGCCTTCATACCTCCTTTGAATGACAACATCCTGAAGTGCGTTAAGTTACGGTCCTGAGAAATTTACCACTTTAAGGAACAAAATCTAGTTCAGAAAATTGGGACTACAGCCTTCAAGAAGTTGTATTTCTCCACCTCCCTGCACCCCCCCAGAAGAGGAGACAATTTAAAATAATTATATTTTGACAATCAATTAAAACAGTGTTGCTGCACAATCTGGTAATTAAAAACCAGCAGCTTGTTTCAGAGTTTAAAAAGAGCAGAATATTGAACCGATAACAATGTTAACATTTTGCATGATGAGACCACAAAAGGAGATTCAAATAACTTACGCAACTCTTGAAAGAGAAGATTGCTTCCTTCCAGACACCCTGAGCAGGTTTCCTCTGTTTCTATCTTCCCATATCTAAACTCCTGGACAGATTCAGGAGTGCATGTGGCAAGTCAACACCAGCCTTTCCACGCACTGGAACATTTAATTTGTTATAGTGTTTGACCAGTGCTTTGCTGGTTACTACGATCAGCAGCCAATTGAGTGTCTACTGGATGGTCAGGAGCATTTTGTCACTCAAGTAACTGACAGACCTGAGTAAAGATTTTCTAGTGCCTGGTGTACAGCCTGTTGCGAACCAAGGTAACTGCAGATAATGAGCCTTTAAGACACATTCAAACATTCAAGAAAGGACTTGCCTACAGATACCTCTTCAGGGTCACTTGGAATGTATGAAGCGAGCAGGGATGTCCAGTGACATTGCATCACTTCAATCCATAGATTTCAGAGGGAGAAACCAGGGCTCAATGATGTTACAGTTGATGTGTACAGTCAAATGATTTGAATAGGATGATCCAGGCTTGGATGAGCTTCACTGCATTTTGGAAGTACTTTGGTTGAGTTCACGTTGCTATAGAAACTTAACTGAATTGTACCCAGCTTCGGCCGTTAGTTATGGTATGGTCAATTAATTCTGGTCACTTAACCATGCCACGACCCACTGATTTTATGTCCAGACATGTAGCTTGGAAGCAGTGCTAACGTCCCCGGTCATCTCAATTCGTCTCAACCCAGCTATCTAACCCATGTGAGAATTAGGAGACCACTTCTGGCAAAATGGTTAATTTCCATGTGCTCACCTCCAGTGCCCAGCCTTCGGGGGCTCAGCCACAGCATAAGGAGGGTAAGTAAAGCCACAGGCACTTTGCAGCTTCCTGAGGATACAGCTGCCTTAAGCGGGAACCTCCGCAGTCACTGGCCAGCAGGTACGGAGTTGCTTAAGCATCTGATTTCTGAATACATCATAGAGGGGTAATCCTCTGTAAACCCTACCCACCCACCACGATGATGACCCAACAAACCCACCCCCCTAACCACAAAACACTACCTGCACCACACACTCCCCCAGACTTGGTCAAAACACAGAGTATCTGCTACAGTCCCAATGAATTCAATCCTTTTCAAGTTGCTGCTTGCATGTAATGAAAAGAATGCCACTCGCCAGGACCCTATGAAGATGAGCAAATCCTACATCAAACACAACGAGGGAGACAGGTCAGAAAAAAGGTTCCAGGCCACCTGTCCAGATTAAGAAGAGTGTGTCCCTTAGGAAGACATCACCGCATGCAGTGCTCATACCTACTTTCTTTTGTGCCCCGTGAAAACTACCCAAAGCATACATAAATATGCTGTCTATTTATTTTGGCAACTGATACGCCCTAGCTCTTAGATCAGATGCGCGTGACATTTGTAGGCATCCCACTTGCCAAATCTTAGGGGAACGGAGAGACAGAGAGAGAGAGAGAGAGAGAGAGAGAGAGAGAGACAGACAGACAGACAGACAGAGAGAGAAGTGGGGGGTGGGAGAGGGGTAGGGAGTTGGGGAGGAGAACAGGGAGGGAATTAATGCTGTTTTCACTTTGTAATGTTTCCACAGAAACAGTGCTCTTTGGATAATAACCATCAACCATTTCAAACTTAAAAAAAGCACATTTAAAAGTGGCAGTACCAGCTTGGAAATTACTGCAGCAGTCAGTGTGGGTTCGCAATCCACACTGTTTGATCGATTCTGGATGTCAGCGACAGACATTCATACACGCGCGCGCACTCACACACACACGCGCATATCACCCCCCCTACCCACCCGCCCCCCACCCCCCCCACCACATTAAGTGCACCTTAAGAAAGCAAAAGAGCCCATCTCTCTTTTTTTGTAAAAATTACTTCAGCCGGTTTACAATGGCCAAAGCCCAAAAGTTGCAAACAAGGTTGAGAATAGGTTGAATAGCGAGGTGGGGGGCGGCTGGGGGGGAAGAGACAAACAGTAGATTTTAAAATTTCTCACAGCTTATATGCTACATCACAAAATAGAACAACCACTGTTTTTTTTTGCGACAAATGCGCCTGTATCTGCCCTTGTCAGTTTGGCTGACTCCGCGTTCCTCTGGGTGGGCAGCTCGGCACTGAAGAGTCTATTTGTACCCAGAGGGAGTCTTTCACCACGCTGTTCATCGCGATTTATGGTAGTGTGGAGGGGCTGCCATCGCCCAGTCTCTTCACCACCTCCCCCCTCCAAACCACACTTCCCCCTCCTCTCCCCCACCCCTACCACCCCCAAACTGCAGCCAGGAAAAGTGAAAAGCCCCAGGACTTTTGCATCTGCGTCTGTCTGGCCATCTCTCTTGTGGGAATTTGGTCATCATGGTAAGAAGTGCAATTGAGCCTGAGTGTTTTGAAGGAAAATAAAAGGATCCTTTCCCAGCAGAGGACACGCAGGCACAGGCAAAAAATAATAATTATACAAAACAAGGATCAGAGTCTGAAGCTTCTCAACCAGTCACGTGGCTTTTTCATCCAAAACGAAGGGAGTTGAACATGCAAGCAGAACCTCGCCATCCCTCGAGAGCTGCAGTCATTTGTGCCTATCTGCATTCTTCTTCCTTTTCCTCTTGAAGAAACAGCAACACCTAGAGGTGGCAGAAGACAGAAGGGGAGGGAAAAAAAGCTATTAATGAAACTGGCATGAGTTCTGCTTGCAAATGACTCATAAAAGAGAATAATCTTCTGTCGAGGCATATAATCTCACACTGAATGCCCACACTTCCTTAAAACTCCTCCAGATCAAAATACACAATTAGTACAACTGATTTGGTCCATGCATTGAAAAATACACCTGATCAAACAGATAAATTATCAAGGGTAAATATATATTTGATACCTAAATCAAGGGGAAACTAGAGAGCTGCATGAAGGTTAAGGTTATGGTGATAAGGTTAGATAAAGTTGGGTGGAAGAGGTTTGTGTGAAGAAGAAAACAGTGACTTTGATTAGTTTTTAAAAAAATCTGTTCATTTGTGGGATATGGGTGTCGCTAGCTGGCCAGCATTTATTGCCCATCCCTAGTTGCCCTTGAGAAGGTGGTGGTGAGCTGCCTTCTTGAACCACTGCAGTGCACCTGCTGTGGGTTGACCCACAATGCCATGAGGGAGGGAATTCCAGGATTTTGACCAAATGATGCTGAAGGAACAGCAATATATTTCCAAGTCAGGATGGTGAGTGGCTTCGAGGGGAACTTGCAGGTGGTGGTGTTCCCATACATCTGCTGCCCTTGTCCTTCCAGATGGTTGTGGGTTTGGAAGGTGTTGTCTGAGAATCTTTGGTGAATTTCTGTAGTGCATCTTGTAGATAGTACACACTGCTAAACTGAATAGTCTGTTTCAATGTTGTACATTGCAAACCTTTAGTTGATACATGAAAAACTATACACCATAGTTAAACGTGCAAGATAAATCACTGATGTGCAAATTTACAAGTTGTAGTAAAGAAACTGGCCACAGACAAAGGTACAGTCCAGGGATTGGCATCATTTCCACATTGTCACATTCAGTGACCACTGAAACTAATTCCCCTCTTGTGGATTTTCAATTACAAATAACAAACAAATAGTTCCTCAAGATTTTGAGTGACAAAATATAGTGGGTACAGTGGTATTGTAGCTACTAGTAAAATAAAAATCAAAAGAAAATGATCAAAATGCAACACAACAGTGTGAGGAGCTAAATTTTAAAAACAGAAGTAACAAGCTCGGGCCAGTAAAAGGGACTGCGAAGCTGTTTATTTCAAGCCACAGTAACCGGTTCACTAATACCCTTTGAAAACACAAATTCATGGAATGTCTCTCTCACTGGCAGGTTTAGCAACACACCAACAAGCCCAACCCCATACAATTTGCCCTCATGAAGGTCATGGTGAGCCTTGAGCCACCAGAGCCCATCTTATGTAGTCACACAGATAGGAGGAACTGCAGATGATGCAGAATCTGAGATAACAAGATGTAGAGCTGGATGAACACAGCAGGCCAAGCAGCATCAGAGGAGCAGGAAGGCTGATGTTTCGGGCCTAGACCCTTCTTCAGAATTTCTGAAGAAGGG